CTCTCTCATCTCTCTAATCTCTCTCTCTAATCTCTCTCTCTCTCTCTCTCTCAATCTCTCTCTCTCTCTCTCTCTCTCTCTCTCTCTCAATCTCTCTCTCTCTCTCTCTCTCTCTCTCTCTCTCTCTCTCTCTCTCTCTCTCTCTCTCTCTAAATCTCTCTCTCTCTCTCTCTCTCTCTCTCTCTCTCTTTGTTGATGTTTTGAGCTGGCTCTCGGGTACGTGCTGCTTCGCTTGGCTTGGGAGTCGCCTGAACCAGAGGAATGATGCGCTCTACCGGGTCGGTCATGGAGAATGATGCGCTCTACCGGGTCGGTCATGTTTGGGAATATCTCAGCTGTGTGCCTGCGTTTCAGGAGGCTTTGTCATGCTGGTGCCAACTGCAAAGTCATGGGCCGCGCTATTGAGCGTTGTGCTCGCCCTTGCCTGCGGCGGTCGCGGCGATCAGATCCGCATCGCGGGCGAGACGCTGTCCATCGGCAATCGAGGGTTTGCCAACACTGGTACCCCCTTTGAGCGACTTCCCACCGTGGCTAATGGCGCCGTTCGCGATGCCGTACGTCCCTGCTGCGATCGCCATCTCACCCACCCGTCCTCGAGGGACCTTCTCCTCGAGTGTCTCACACGGCCTGTGGCACTCAGGTGTGGGACCTTTCACTCGACTCAGCCGGCATGTACGTGCAATTTGTAAGCAACGCCAAGGAGCTGAAGATTGATCTCAACTTGACGAGCTCGTACGTTTCCTCGATTCCCGCATCGCTTCCCCGCTAACCCACGCCAGCGAGCTGGCTCATGTGATGGCTTGACGATGCAGGTCACTGGACATGTGGCACTTTCCCAGCACGGGTGCCTCGGGTTTCGACCTCTATGCCTATGATGATAGCACTGCCCTGTGGCGTTGGATCGCTACTCCGACCCCAGCCTACCCAATGACGAGCTTGTCCTTTAATGCATCCCGCCTCGTGGCAGATGGCCGTGAGCGCCGCTATAGGCTTCATACACCGCTGTACAACGGCATCCGAGCACTGGAGTTTGCGATCGATGATGTGCGTTTTCATTTCCCCATCTCCATGCGAAATGTGAAAAAACGGTCCCCGCCTGCTTGCTATCTGCAAGACGACGCACGTAATAGCACTGCGGGCACTGACCTGTGGCTGCAAAAACCCAGGCATTCACCCTCAAACCCGATCCGGACTTTCAAGAACTGGCGCCCATTGTTTGGTATGGAACGAGCATTCTTCAAGTGAGTCCCCCCATTCAACCTGATTCAGCGCTGCCGCAGCAGTACCCAGCACCATCATACGTGGGACAACCCAAGACGCCAACCGCCTTACCACCTCGCGGCGGGGATGATTGCAGGGCGCCGTCGCCTCGCGCCCAGGACAGGCTGCCACCAACATTTTGACACGCAACCTCGATCGCACCATCCTTAACTTTGGCTTTTCTGGCAATGGTCTGTTGCCAGTGCACACTACAAGCTGCTACATTCTTCGCCTTTGCCTCCCCGGCCGAATCTCTCACATCAAGCCGAACCTTTTGCGTGATAGGCAAAATGGAACTCAATGTGACACAATTTCTGGTGCAGATCAACGCCAGCGTCTTTGTGATTGACTGTAACCCCAATCTCAATGACGAAGAGGTGGCCGCCCTTGCCGTGGTCAGTGCGCTGCACACGGCACAATTTGATGGGTCTGTGGGATCTTTGGCACCCGCTCACAGGCACGCCTCGATAGCCTCTGGTCCAATACATACGCGCCCATGGCCATGCTGACATTCCCATTGTTCTGGTTGAAGGGCCTACATATGGCGGGGTACGTGAATTTTGAGCCCAGCGCCCAGTCTGCTCGTCCATGCTTCAGGCTGTTCCGACTGGCAAGCGACCCGTCTTGGAAGCATATGCTGACCACTTGACTGCTTCTGCTGTTGCGAATCCCATGATTGGTGGCTAGTCGTGGATTTCCGCCAATGTTCGAGACGAACAAGCCAAGAAGCGCGCAGCCTTGGCTGCTGCCTTTGCTCAGCTCAAAAAAACCGACAAAAACCTCTACTACGTTGCTGGCACAGATTTTTACGATCATGCAGCCGACAACTACACCGACCCGACCGTGGGCGGAACACATCCCTCTGGTGAGCAACTTGATGCACATGTGTGACCAACCTAGTCACCCACGAGTGTGGTTAGGATCTGCTCGCATGAACAATCAAAAACTGTGACCCCTCCACCCTTAGTCACATTGATTTGGGTCTGCGGGCTTCCATCTTTAGATTTGGGCATGCGCCAAAATATCGCTGTTCATGAGCCGCTGCTCACCCAGCTGGTTCAAACATCGCCCCGACGAAACATGCCTTTTCAGCCCGTAAACGGGCAGCGCTTGTTGCCTCTTGCTGATGCGGCTGCTGCTGCTCGCTCCCAGCCATCCGACCACCGGCCCGCTGATCACGTCGAGGTCCTTCGCCGAGCAGCTCCCCTCCCCATGTCCACCGCTGACTGGACCACGACTCAGTTCCGGGATCTGGAAATTCATGGCCGCGGATTCAACAACTCGGGTCCGACTGACTTTTTCACTCGTCTTCCACCTGCCGCTCAAGGCGTTGTGCGCGATGCTGTCTGGAATTTGAGCCGCTATTCAACTGGACTTTTCTTGCGCTTCGCCACTGACGCTACCACGTATGCTGTTTACGGCCTGCCAGCTCGCCTCTCTCCCCCCTCGCTCCCCGGCATTTCGCAAAGGAACGCTCCTCTCACTCCTATCTGCTTTTTGCCCCCTATGCATTGACTGTCTAATCTTGGGCTGCGGGCAGCCTGCAATTCGAATGGGAGTTGGCGCAGGCTGGATACTCGCTTTGGCACATGTCAGAGGTATGGTCTCTCAGGCTTGCTTTGTCTCACTGCAAAGTGGTCATGAATCCACGCGCGATGGCGGACGTGAGACACGTATCCACTAAACAAACAAACAACATGTATTGTTTAGTCGGGGACCAGTGGCTTGGATCTGTTTGCCTGGGACCCCGTGGTCCAGCATTGGCGTCACGTTGGCGTACCAGAGACGTATGCCACATCTGGCAACATGTGGACCGTCTCCGTGGACCCTGTGGCTGACGCTGGGCAGGTGCGCGCCTACATGCTGTACTTGCCCCTTCGCAACACGCTTGTGTCTGGCAACATATCTGTCCCGAGCGCGGCAACCTTCTATGCCAATGGCAGCCCTGACATGGCCCCGTCATTTAAGCAGCCACCTATTGTGTGGTACGGCACCAGGTCCGTTCAACGCTCCTGCCAGAGTGGCAGCTGTTTCTTGTGCTAGCGCAGTGGCTTGACTCGAGCGGTGCCTGACATCTTTTTTTTGTTGGTTCATGGCGCAGCATTCAGCAGGGTGGTGTTGCCTCGAGGCCTGGGCACGAGTATGATGCCTTTTTGTCGCGCTTGCTCCAGCATGAGATCATCAACCTGGGCTTTGCCGGCAATGGTGCGTGCCTGCCATCGGTGCCCTGGTTGGTGGCTGTCAGAACGTCTTGCAAGGTTCCCCCTGACCTCTTGCGTTGGCCCGACGTAGGTGTTATGGAGGAAACAGTCGCTGAATTTTTAGTCCAGCTACCCGCCAAGGTCATAGTCATCGACTGTCTTCCAAACATGAACGCCGCCGAAGTCACCAATCGCACCGTGGTAAATACAGCGCCCGTGAAGACGCGCGCGCGCGTATTCTGATGTGTGCTCACGTTCATTGGTTGGTGCACCGACGCCATCAGCCTCTTGTCAACTACATTCGTACCCATGGCCACGCCACCACGCCCATTGTCTTGGTTGAGGGTACACCGACGGCTCCCTATCATCTGTTTGGCAATGGTAGGTGTTTTGACATCTCGAGAGCAATCGGCGGCAACGTTGTGGTTGGTTGACCCCGTCACATGTTCTACCTTGTCTGTCTTCCTTGCTGGGTGTCGTAGTGGGAGCAGAGGCGCTGCTAGGCAAGGATGCAGCATTGGCTGCCCAATTTCAGAAGCTGGTGACTGCGGGTGTGACCAATCTATATTACATGAACGCGACGACCCTGGTGCGTGTCTACTGATGAGATGCCTGAGAACTGGGCCTCGTTTGATGATTGATTGCTTGATCAGTACTTGAAGATCTGCTCGGAAGATCTGCTCGATACTTTAGAGCTGCTCGATGCGCACTCATGGGTGGCTGTTTACACCCCATTCTAGTTTCCTGACCCCTTTGTCAACCCTACCGTGGGAGGTGTTCATCCCTCGGACCTGGGCCAGCACCAGATGGCCCTTGCTTGGTGCACATTCTTCATGCAGACGGGTCTCTTGAACCAATCTTAGCTCACTTCTTCGCATCCACATGCCAATCTGAAGCAAACCTCCCCCTTCCTCTTCCTCTTCCTCTTCCTTCTCTGCTGCCACCTGCTCCTCATTCCACCAGACCCAGCGCGACAAGCTGATGGCGAGTTCAGCAGCAAACCCAGACGGCCAATCAATCAATCGTCAATCAGAATAAAATGTCTGACATTTAGCTTCTTCCCACTTGACAACAAGACTTCGGCGGGTCGGTCGGGGCACTCACGCACACGCTCGGCAGCTCGGCGTTGAGGTCGACGACGTACATGCAGATGTGCATTTGGGAGGAGGCGTTGCATCGGAAGCGGCTTTTCGCGGATACAGCGTCGCTAAGCTGTTCGGCCTTCATCATGGACACTGCGCCTTTGGAGGTGCCTGTGTCTGAATCTACCTCAACCTAGTTGAGCATCGCGTGTCTTGTCGGCGTGGTCCGGTCATTGGGGGTAACCTGCACCAGCCCCAGCCCCAGCCACGGCCTCGCCTGCGTGCCTTGCAGCGTTGCACAGCACTGGTTTGTGCCTTGCGCTATGATTGAGCTTATCATAGCCGCTCTTCTCGCGGTCTTGTATATTCTGTGCGTGGCCTGCAGCCTCTCCACGCGTCAGCGTCGTGTGGTTCGCGTCCAGCCCGTGACATCCGTCTGAGACAGTCCGGCCTTACCTCCCTGTGCTGGACTCTTGAGCCTTGACCCCTGTGCGCTGGTACGCTGTGGCTTGTCGTTGTTGCCGTTTATGCATGTCACGTCACATGCCGTCCATTTACCTCGGCTGCAACTGACCGTTTTCTCGTCTTATTCTATCCACCCTGAAACATGTGAAGCACCATAATTGACACTCGAGCAGACTTTATCGCACCTCCGTTGTCATACTAACCCTTGCGTACGACGGTGACCCCGCGCGCCGTCACCCAGACGCCCCCTGCGACCGCGTTCGAACCTGCACAGATATCCCACAATTTCAAGTCATTTTCAATGAATTTTTGATGAATATTCTGTATTTTTTAGATGTTGCGTGATGTATACAGTTTGACATCCTTGCTATCTTGATGGGAGAACACGCGGGGGCTAGGGCTCTGCCTGCAAGTCGGGTGCCACCGTCGCAGGCGCTCATTGCTGTGTCGTGTCGCTAGCCAAGCGTCCGATCGGTCGCTCTGTTCATTCGCAGGCGTTCATAGGGAACCTGCGCCTACACACACACACACACACACACACAAGTCAAGTTTTATTCAATCTTCTTTTAGAGTTTGTTTGCAAAGTTTTTTTTTTTTTTTGAAGGGGCCAGTGGACCAGCCCACACCGCAATTGGTGACGACTGACGAGGGAAAGCAGACCCGCCGCAGATCGAGCTGTAGAACGCACTCTCAGGCATTGGACTGGGAAGGTAAACGAGGGCCATGTCGGTACAAAAGCTGTTTATGAGGGGATCGGGCTTGCAACTGCTGCGAAAGGCCACGCTCACCGTCGCAAACACACGTCGGCGGGCGAGCTCGGCAACTGGCTCGGACAAATACGATGCCGTGATCGTCGGGGGAGGACACAATGGTCTGACCTGCGCTGCCTACTTGGCTCAAAAAGGTATGTCCACCCTGCGTAGGCATCTGGTGGCACGATCCTATCCCAGTGATCGCAGCGCCGCCCCCTTTCGTTTTGTGTCTCGTGCCACACCCTCGCCTTTTCGCGCTTCACACGCACCAAGTCTCACCAAGCTGCACCGCATGCATCGCAACGAGACGCAGGCGTTCGCGTCCTGGTGTTGGAACGCAATGACTGGATCGGCGGAGCAGCTGTAACGGGCGAGATCGTCCCTGGTTTCAAGTTTAGGTGCAGTTCTGAAGCGCGGCGCTGCTGCCAACCCGAGCCAGACTCAATCTCACATCCCCACTTCGCACCATGCATACCTTGACCCGTAGCCGCGCATCCTACTTGGCCGGGCTACTGCGACCACAGATTATCAAGGATCTTGATCTTCATCGCCATGGGTTGGAATACCTGCCTCGTGATCCCTCGAGCTTCACACCTGGGGAGCCGGGAGGGCCGTACGAAGGCCAGGGTCTCTTCTTCTGGCAGGATGCCGCCAAGACCCGTGCATCGATCGAGCAATTCTCTCGAACCGATGCTGATGCCCTCGAGGAGTACGAGGATGTTCTTGCTGGACTGCGCGATGTTGTACAACCGCTGCTGGATCACCCACCTCTGGCCAACGAAACGGTGCGCAACAAGGACCTGTCAGGTTACCACCATTGCCGTGCCTGTGTTCGAGCGCTCCAGCGAAAGGAATTAATCCGTGGTGTGCACTTGACAGGGAGTCTGGCGCAACCTTCACACCGCCATGGACCTGCAGCGTACCATCACCGCCCATCACAAGGCCCAGGTCAGGTCGAGCTCGTGCGAGGAAGAGTCGCATGATCTAACCGCAATGCGCAAACCTGCATGCCCTCATTCGTGGCCACTCACACTTATTTCATATTTGCTCGACCTCACCCCTCTGCCATCCTTTGCGTGTACCCCCTTTGTGCTGTAGCAAGCGCTGTATTACGAGTTGCTGACCGCACCGGCGGCACACATTCTGGGCCGCTATTTCGAGAGTGACATTTTGAAGACAACCCTGGCCACGGATGCTGTCATTGGGAGCCTGGCAGCTCCGTCTGAGCCTGGATCGGGCTACGTGCTGCTGCACCACGTCATGGGCGAGGCGGCAGGTAAGCCAACGAAGAACTGATCTTGTCTGCGTTGAGTATCATTGTCGCTGCCTGCTGCTCACACGCACCATCATGGGACACCTCATGGGACACCCGCAACGGCAGGACGTCAAGGCGTGTGGGCATATGTGCGCGGTGGCATGGGTCAAGTGTCGCAGGCAATCGCATCGGCAGCGCGTGAAGCAGGCGCAGAAATCCAGACGGGTGCGCTGGTCGATCAAATCTTGACGGACGGTAGCGGCAATGTGCATGGCGTGCGAGCGGTCATCAACGGGGAGCCCACAGTGATCCATGCGGACATGGTGGCTGCCAACTGCAATCCACACCACCTTGTCACCAATCTGTTGAGTGGTAAGTGGGCCTTCCCTTTTGCGTCTAGATTGCCCGGGCTCAATACAGGGATTGGTCTGTGACCTTTTGGCCTTTCTTCCCTCGCTCACGACGCTCGCGGTGGTGGTTAGACTGCCCACTGCCAAAGGATTTTGTGCGGCATGTCGAGCGTGCCGACTACAGCTGCGGCGCCTTCAAGATCAACTGTGCTGTGAGCGAGCTGCCACAGTTTATCGGCTTCGAAGGTGGCGCCGAGCCGCAGGCACACCATCGAGGCACGATCCACTTTGAGAACCATATGCAGCAGATCGAGGACGCCGCCGCCGAAGTATGTACCACCACCTTCTTGTGAACCTTGTGGCTAGTGCTCGTGACGCTGATTCACCACTCGATGTGCTTGCAGGCCAAGCGTGGAGAAGCGGCTTCTCGCCCTGTCATTGAGATGACCATCCCGAGTGCGGTTGACAACACTCTGGCACCGGAAGGCCAGCACGTGGTGCAGTTGTTTGTGCAGTATGCTCCCTACGAGGCTGGGCAGGCCTCTGGTCGCGGCTGGCACGACCCCGCTTTCAAAAAGGCGTTTGTTGATCGTGTTTTCGGCGTGATTGACCGGTTCGCCCCCAATTTCTCAAAGTCCGTGATTGGCATGGACGCGTTGTCGCCCGTGGACCTGGAAGAGCAGTTCCACTTGCACCGGGGCAACATCTTTCATGGCGCCTTGGGTCTGCATCAACTGAGCTTCATGCGTCCAGCTCCAGGGTACAGCAGCTACCGCATGCCTCCTAAGGGCCTGTATCTCTGTGGCTCTGGTGCCAGCCCTGGTGGGGGTGTGATGGGTGCTCCGGGTCGCAATGCCGCTCGAATCATGCTCAGCGATCGCTAGCTCCTGACTCTCTCTGCCAATAAGCTTAGACTCAAGGAAGGCTTGGCAAATTGGCATGAATCAATTTTTTTCTTTGCATGCTCACCTCTACCTTGCATACCAAGATTATATGGACAAGGGCTGCTAAAAAATTGGTCGAGCGGAGATGGAAATGAAGCCGGCTGTGCGTGGAAACAGGACACATGTATCATAATTATTCTCATATCATTATCATCATCATCATCATTTACTTAAAAAGGATGGCGCTTGTAACCTCGACTTGGGCACGCAGCCCAGGCCTAGATGGACTCAGCCAAGGCGTTTGGTTCACTGGCCAAGCTGCCTAGACCACTCGAATCGGTGACCCCTTGAAAACTCATGGGAACGGTATATTCACATTGGCCGCCCGACAAATTCTGCAAAGATGTTGAAGAGCACACGGTATCAAAGCAAAAGCGAATCGTGGTTGAGCCCATAAGGTTGGCAAGCGAGGGGCGGAGGCGCAAGCAAATTTGCAAAACTAACAAATTGCACGGCACCAAGGGCGGCCTGCGCTGAACTTGAGCGAGCCACGGCTCGAATAAAGGTCGGCACATCGGTCCAAACGGCCTCCGTGGCCAACACGGCGGACAAGGCTTCCTAGGTGTGGGGTGGGTGTATATTGGTTATCTCGAGACGAGCTTATGGTGGGCCAAGGGGATCAAGCAAGGACATGCCTGGATCGGGAGGGGTAGGTATTGGGCGCCAGCCATGATCTCTCGTGCCTATATCAGCCATAGGCCAAGAATGAAGAGTGAGTGCAGGAGTACGGTGATAAACGGTCATGGCGCCCTGTCCATGTGTGAACGATGGCTGGTGTCCCGAGGCCATTGTGAGTACCTGCAGGGCGCGCTTGTTCTGTCATGTTGCAACGACGGAGGAAGTGAGCGAGAGAGCCCGGCACACACCACAGGTGCACGTACGTAGAGCAAAAACATCCGTACCTTGTCCAGGAGCAGCTGGGTCAAGTTGAGCGTGTCGTGGAGCAGCAGGGTCACCTAGCGTGTTGACAGGAACGCGCTGCGTGAGCCCGATGCAGCGTGCCATCCGGTTTGCATTGGCTCGAACCTGTAAATAGAGTAGACTGCTGGCCAAGGTGGGGGTTGGTTGGGTCAGGGCATGGGCCTCAAAGCTTCTTGCTATGATTTCGGTTGGGAAATCCTAAGCTTGCCCGTGGGCAGGGTGAGAGACGGAAGAACTGGCAATGGGCATTGCGATGATCATGGCTGGAGGCGCGCCAGCATACCGGACAAATCAGAGAGATCAACTGCTGCAAGTGAGCAGGGGAGGTGGTTGTGTCTTGCCACTGGGCAAACCAAAAGGCGAGTTGCTGTAGAAAGTAAACGCGTCGGGCATGGGTGCGACACACATCGGCATAGTTACCGACCGGCCAATCAGCTCCCCGATGAACTACACGGCGCGACCGCGTCAGCTAGAGCACCCCATGCCGTTTCTTTGGACCGATGCTGCAGAAAGCAGGATCAGGCAGATAGCAGGGGGAGTCTGGGCAGTGTTCGGAGACGTACCCGCACTGAGAGCGTCATGGAAGGCTGTCACGGGCGCCTGTTCGGGCACCTCAGCTAAGCGAAAGGCAGCCGCGGCTAGAGCATTTTCCAGTGCCGAGGACAATCCTGAACGTTGAAAATACTCCTCCGTCGACAATTCATGACGGACAGCATCATCCATGGCACCGGCTCTGCGCCACCCCAAGGGCCTCGCTGTTCCCAACACCGCTCCGCCTCTTTTGATGTGTTTGGCCCCGCCGCTCTGCGTGTGTGTGTTTGTGTGTGTGTGTGTGTTTGTGTGTGTGTGTGTGTGTGTGTGTGTGTGTGTGTGTTTTGTCTCAAAAATTTCATTTTCTCTCTCTCTCTCTCTCTCTCTCTCTCTCTCTTTCTCTCTGTGTGAGTGTGTGAGTGATTGAGGGCGATCCCGTGAACATGTTGCGACGGCCGTCGAGTACGCTGCCGTTTACAATAACGGAGGCCAAGAGGATTGTACGGGAGCGGGAGGAGCGCAATGCGGTACGGTGCCACTCAACCTTTTCATGCTTTGACTCGGTCACAGTGGGCATTGCTTGGCTCATTGGTTCATTCTGTGGCTGTTGGTGCTCAGGAGCCTGGTCTGAGCGCAGACGAGCGCGCGCAGCATTTTCAAATGGCGCTGCGGGCAATGGCCTCCTCCGCGGCCGAGGTCAATCGTCGTTTGGGGCTTGATACTCAGGGGTAGCCTCCCAGCTTGTAGACGTCATCAGCCTTGCAGGCGACTCCCCGATCTGGTCTTCATTTTGTCTGTTCGTGTGTGCTTGCCTGCGTTCTCACGCTGATTCATCCCCTCGTTTTGTACCCCTTCCTTGCCCTCTCCGTCTGGTGCTGCGCACCATGTGAGCAAAAATCGAAGCCTTTCACCCCATTTCGTGTCTACACCATCACCACTCTCATCCGTTCCCCATCATCCCCTCCTTCGCCCTCGCGATACCAGTCGATCTTATTTCTTTCACTCGCTCGCTTTGCTCTCTCTCTCTCATGTCTCTGTCTCTGTCTCTGTCTCTGTCTCTGTCTCTGTCTCTGTCTGTCTCTTTCTCTGTCTCTTTCTCTGTCTCTGTGTCTGTGTCTGTCTCTTTCTCTGTCTCTGTCTCTGTCTCTCTGTCTCTGTCTCTCTGTCTCTGTCTCTGTCTCTGTCTCTGTCTCTGTCTCTGTCTCTGTCTCTCTGTCTCTGTCTCTGTCTCTCTCTCAAATTTTAAATTCTTTACTCTCTCTCTCTCTCTCTCTCTCTCTGTGCCTTTGGGTCGTTGTCATGCAGGATCGGTACAAATGGGCGGCGGCCATCTTGACGTGGCTGAGCTGTTGGATGGCCACGGGTTTGGCTGACCTTAAGTATGTGGACTGGGGAACGGGAGCTTGTCAGGTCTGCTGATACCCAAATTTGGGACTCGGGTTGATGGCTGACTGACTTTTGAGGTGTTTTTAGTTGCAACGCCATCGCCGATGTCGCCGCGGACACCGACCCCGACTCGGCTGGTGCCATTGTGGCCTTTGATTTTGAGAACGTGACTAGCTATGTGCCGGCCAGCAATTGTAAGCAGCATCTGTTTCAAACTCGGGCATGATCCTTGATTCCTCACGCCGGCCCGTTTGCCAACGCCCCCCTCTTTCTCCAGCTTTTTTCGCCATCGGCACAACCAATGTGCTGGCCAGCGATGGTGTCGTGACGTGCCCCTTTAATGTCACAGTGCACGACGTCCAGGCCCCCGACTTTGTGGGCGGCTGCCCGACCCACTTGCTTGCCAGCCATTTGATCGGTGCCAGTCGCACGGTGACCTCCCTGGCAACGCTGGGCCTCACGATTGCGGATAACTCCCAACAAATTCCTACCTGGATCAATGGTCCCTTGCTCTTATCCCCGGGTCTCAATACGGCGCTCTTTTTGACCATCAGCGATGCCGCCGGCCAGACCTCCAATTGCACCATGGACGTCTATCTGGATGCTGCACCGCCGACTCTCCAGTTTTGTCCCGACGCACATCCCTTGGCCCTACGTGCTGCCACAGGTACCCAATTTTTTATCCTCCAGCCAATGCTTCGTTCACAGGCAGAGCACCGCCACCTCATGCAGCAGGCACCACCTGACGCAACTCTCTAGGTCAATCGAGCGTGGCGCTCCCCCAGACACCGGCCGAACTGGGCATTGTCATAACCGATGACTATTCGGAGGCAGTGACGTTCAGTGAGGCCGGGCAAGTGGTTCAGGACGGGGATGTCCTTAACCTGACCTTGCGGGATGCTGCCAATTGGACGGTCTTTTGCGAAATCACTCTGGTCGTGTCAGACGCCGCTCCGGTACTGACATGCCCCACGGCGCCCGTGGCTCCCTTGTATACGGTGCGCAATCTCAATCTGAGCGAGGTATCTGCCTGGCCGTTAGCCACCGCTGACCCGGGCGGGTTTGCAGCCGACAACGGGGGTGTGGTCTGTGGAGCGGCGGATGCCACCCTGGGTACCCAGCTGCCCATTGGAAACAATACGATGGTGTGTACGGCCGGTCCAGATGTGATAGGCGGGCCCGTTGCCGTGTGTGTCTACGAACAGCCCGTTATCCGCGATGAACCCCCGGCCGGTGACTGCCCGTCACTGGTGGAAGGGGAAGCGGCCAGTGTCTCAGCCTTTTACGTGGTGCAAGCCAGCGACTTTGCCTTTGCCGATGTGCGTGATGGTGCCAACTGGCGTATTGAATGCCTGCCCTCGGAGGTGGGCTTCACAGGTGAAGCCGGGACGGCACAGTTGATTGATTGCCAAATTTTTGATGCGAGCAATAATAGTGCAGCCTGTCGCAACTTGCCCGTGCGCGTGTATCATGCCAATCGACCAGACCTGACGTGTCCGTCCGCAGTGGTCACGCTGGCCACGGATACCAATGCATCCTATACCAACGTGACGGCGGCGGTTGCGCTGCAGGTCTCCACTTCTGACCCCACCGCTTCGCTGGTATGTGGGGGGGTGAATCTCACAAGCGGGGCTGAGGCCTTGGTATTGGACTTGGGCGAGCCACGCAACGTGACGTGTCGTGCCATCAATGCCGACGACCAACGTAGCTGTGCGGTCGCCGTGACCGTGGTGGACGATCAGGCACCCTTTGTGGCTTGCCCCCCGGATCAAGACTGGCGGATTCCGGTGGGCCAGAGCAAGGGCCCACTTTTCGTCAACATGAGTCAGCTGACGGCGGTCGACAATGTGGACGATGCAGCAACGCTGGTGTTGGCGTGCACGCCCGGCACGGGCTCGGCCGTGGGTTCCGGGCCCGTGGCTGTTACGTGCGTGGCAGTGGATCGGGCTGGCAATGAGGTGAGCTGTGGTTACACCGTAACGGTATCGTCGGGTGAGGTGGACTGCGTGGGTAGTTGGACCGCTTGGACTGGCTGTAGCGCCTGCCCTATCTACGAGCGGACGCGTGGCTTTGCAGTGGCAGTAACACCCACCGCGGGAGGGCAAGCCTGTCCCGTGGCCTCGATGGTCTCGTGCGGGGCCTGCACGGCCCTGGCTATCCGGCTCACTTTATTTGGGGTCGAGGCATCCTACTATGAGGATGCGGAGGAGACGGCAGCCACTGCCGTGGCAGGTGCTGTTGAGGCCTTTCTCCTGGCAGCATTGGGTGGCGCCGAGACCTCCTTGAGCGTGCGGGTAGTGGGTGCCTCCCTGAGCGGGGCCGCAACGGCCGTGAAGCGTGCGCGCCGTGCGTTGGAAGACCTGACCATGATGCTCGAAGTGCAAGTGGGTGCCGGCGCGACGGCCACTGCGGCGTGGGCAGCCATTAATGCAACGGCGACCTCAAGCACAGCATCAGCCAATCTATTGGCACGCCTGCAGCAAAGCCTGCCGTTGTTGCTAGGTTCCCTTTCTAGCTTCACAGCAGAGGGAGTGGCAAGCCTTACGGCAACCGTGGCACCCACGGACACTGGGTCAGCACGGGATGTGGATCGCGAGCGCATGATTATGATTGTGGCGGGCGGCGTCAGCGGGTTTGTGCTCTTGATAGCAGTGCTGATTGTCGTGGTGGTGCCGATGCGCACGGGCCGTGCCATTTCCAAGGACGGCCAAGATCGGCGCCGACAGCGGCGATATCTCTCACGTACCGAGGCAGCGCCAGGTGGACGAGTTGGGGGCGGACGGCATTCTGCGCGCACAGCTCCCCTTGCTGTTTAGCGTGTGCGGTCAACTCGGCTTGCTTAAGGCGGTACGGTGAAGGTGTCAGTCCCACATTATTGTCCAGGCCCACTTGCGTATCCGCAGAAGCGGACCAGAACGACAAAGACGGCGGCGGGGGACGTGCTGATCCTGTTTTGTTCTACTGACGAGTCCAGTAGTGTTTTTTTTTCCCTTGTCGGGGGAGGGTCCGGACCACTCATAGGGGCCGAATACAGACAGCGAATGGAGTGAGATATCTTTATTTTTTAATTTACTAGTCAGCAAGAAGCAACTGGTCAATTCTTCAAACACACACACACTCCACACACACTGTACGCGAAAGAGCTTGCCCCCTATGCATTTGGAGCCTTACCAGCATTCTGCTTATGCATTATGCATTATGCATGTGTGCTTTTTTCTTCAAAAGATCGCAAAAGCCCCCTTTCTTGTGACTTGAGCACAAGAGACGTCAACACTAGGGACCACAGGTACAGGTACAAGCTTGCTTCTCCGTCCCCCCAACGTCTCTCCCTGCCGCGTTCCCCTCCGAGACAGCAGACAGAGAGACTGAGTGTGTGTGTGTGTGAGAGAGAGAGAGAGAGAGAGAGAGAGAAAGAGAGAGAGCGAGACTTTGTTCTCTCTTTTTTTTTTTAGCTTGATGAGCAAGCGGATTCAGACTCGGCTGCACTGCACGGCACGTCTCATGGGCTCATACGACGACGCGACGCGACGACGGCATAGTGGGACAGTGATACAGTGGCACCCGGCTTGGTGCAACAGACGCCGGGCTCAACGGTCGCCTTTAAGACTCGGCACGGGCACAGACAACGCGCGACGTCAGTTCACGAGCACAAACCTGGAGCCGCACAGCGACCGGCTCGGATTCGAGGTTGGTTCTTGGTGTGGCCTTTCCGCCTTGTCCGTTGCTCGTCCAACCGTGACCGGACTGAGACACGCAGGCACTGCATCCTTTTTTGTTCATCCGTGCACCTCGTCCCTCGGCACAGCTTGTGAGCCGTTCCTCTTTCGATTGCCGCCGCTACTTTTGCCCGCTGGTTGTGTATCTCACAGCTGCTGTCGGCGGCTTTGAAATTCCTTCTCCATCAGGCTGCTCGACGTGATTTGAACGCGCTGGACTGGCAAGCTTGCAGGAGCACACCTGTCCACCCATTCCTGTCTCTCGCGCTTCAGCTGGCACTGCCAATAGCCTCGTCTTGTGATGCGTTCATCCGATATGGCTTTGACGTCAACGTCATCGGCGACCAACGCCGCTCTATTGGACGGCAATGATTCGGACATGTCTGATTACGGTGCTGCGTCGGATAGCCAGACGTTGTTGGCCCACGACGAGCACAGTCAGCGCGTACATGGCGTCGACAGCGATGCCCCCGACTATGAGGCACATCCCGTTCTTCGCACCTTAGACATGACTAGGCTCGAGGAGAAGCACAAGCAGAAAAAATATTGCATGGGCGTGCCCCTCTTTGTTGTCCTCTGCGTCTTCCTTACCGCCCTCAGCTCTGCCCTCCTCGGGTGCGTGAAACCTCGCGCGATCCGATCCTTACATTAGCCAAACTCTCCTGGCTGGGCCGGCAACTGGCTTCTGGTCGTTGGAACAGACCTTGCAAAGTGTATGCTCATGTGACTGTCTCGTTCATGCATCATGTTGTGCAGATATGATATTGGGGTCATGGCTGGCGCCAAGCTCAAGATTCGCAAATACTTTGATCTGTCAGACTCGGAAATCGAAGTTGGTGATTCATCGCAGCATGCATCCATTCGTTGCTACCAGTGACCTTGAGGCGGATAACGTGCAATGGCCTCTTTGAATTCTGACTCCTGGTCATCAAAACCCTCTTCCCCGGTCTGGTGTAGTTGTTGGTGGGCATTCTCAACTTTGTCAGTGCCTTTGGCGGTCTGGTTTCCGGCAAAGTGGCTGATTATCTTGGACGCAAAAAGGCTGTTGCCATCGCCTCGATGGTTTTCCTTGCCGGGGCCATCCTCATGGCATTTGCTCAAAGTTATGCCATGCTCATGGCCGGACGAGTCGTCACCGGTGCGCCCCCAGTCGTCTCGCTTGTGCCCCTTCCACAAGGCTATTCCCATGATCAACAGCTCGCCCCTCAGGCCCTGTAGTACAGCTGTTGATAAGCTCATGGCAAGCGAACCGTTGTACAATCTGGCAGGCATTGGCGTCGGCACGGGTCTCACCATCGCCCCGCTTTATACGGCCGAGCTCTCCCCCAAGAAGATTCGCGGTGCTCTTGTCTCTTTTACCGAAGTATCCATCAACATTGGCATGTACGTTATGCTGTCACACAGCTCACTTGCAGCATAAGCTTGGGTTCACGTCCAAGAAGACTCACTGCGCTGTATGCTTGGCTTGATGATGACAGTCTACTCGGGTTTTTAGCCGGCTGGGCCTTTGCACAGCTGGTGAGCACATGTTGCTTTGTTGCACGAAAGAGGGATCCCACACACCTGACGACATCCATATGCAGACAACGCCCTCACCCCGGCGTGTGCCTTCCCTGGTCCTCGTACCTAGCCCTTGGAATACGGCTGGCGCTGGATGCTGGGTGTTGGTGGTATCCCCCCCATCATCATCATTGCCAGTCTGGTTCTCATGCCAGAGTCACCGCGCTGGCTTACCAAAAACAATCGCAGCCGTATGTTGCTTCCCGTCGCTCGATTGTCTTGGGTACCGCGGCCATGCGCACTTGGCCTTTTTTGACCCTAAATCCAATCGTTCCGCCCTTTTGCTAGATGAAGCTGTGATGGTGCTGCTCAAGACCTGTCCGCCAACCGAAGCATTTGACACTCTACTCGAGCTCGAGGAACAGGTCAAGGTCCCTACAGGTATGACCTGTGTACCTTGGCCCGGGCGTGGCCGCCCCCTCCTCCCATATTTCCAGGCGCCATTCTACATGCTTAATTGCGGTCGCTCATGTGCCACCAACCCCAACCTCGTTCTGCTCCGCGCAAGGCTCGTTGCGGGATATGTTCTGCCCCGACCCGACCCTCCGCCGCCTCTTGATTGCGGGCTTGGGTGCTGCCTTGTTCCAGCAAGCTTCAGGCATTGGTAAGGTTTGGATACAGTTCTCCCCGACCATCCTCTCGCACACGGTCTAGCAACATTGAGGAGTAGAGGTGGCCTATTTGCTTTGGCATGCCCAGCTCAGACTTATCCTCGTTTCTTTCTGTTTGGCAGAGGCTCTGGTCTACTATGTCCCAGAGGTCCTGGAGGCGGCCGGAATCACCGATGAGGAGGAGCAACTTCTAGCCAATGCCGGCGTGGGTGCCATTAAGGTGATGTTCATCTTCATTGCCATGGCCTTTACGGACAAGGCTGGACGCAAGACGGTACGCTTCTTAATCAGGAATTCTCGCTCGGGAACATTGGCACAAAAGGGTTACCAAGCGCCTGCATCGACTCACCGGTCCATACACCACAACTTAGCTCCTGATTGCCAGTTCCATTGGCATGATGTTATCTGATGGCCTCGTGGCGCTCAGCTTTATCCTGGGCAATCTTGCACCCATGACCATTACCGGTAAGCCCACCCCACGCATCATCACGGTTGGCCTGGCTTGTCAAGGCCCTCTACATCTTGTTGTCATAGTTGGGCCATGGGAACGTTGTGTTGGCCAGCTTCTCAGCAGCTGTGGGCCATGGGCACTTGCAGGCATTTGCAGCTACATGGCGCTCTTTTCCGTCGGCTGGGGCCCCATGTGTTGGGTTATCGTGTCGGAGATGTTTCCGCTCAAGGTTCGCGGCATGGCCGCTGGCGCCGGCACCTTCATCAACCGCATTGTCTCTGGCACCATTGCCATGTCCTATCTCAGGTTCGTGCGAAGCCAACTTGAATAGTGCTCGCAGACTCGCCTCCACTGACGGCACTTTGAGCAATCCGCACGTTGCTCACCACATCACCGACTTGCCTTGGCAGCATGTCCAAGGCGCTCACTGAAGAAGGTACTTTCTTTCTCTTTGCCGCTGTCAACGTGGCCGCCATTTTCTTTGTCATTTTTCTGGTCCCCGAGACAAAGGGGAAATCGCTCGAGGAGATTGAGGCCAGCATCGCCGGCAAGAAGACGACGAGTGTGCAGTGTTGCCGCCGGCGTGCACGCGTGGCCTATGACACCTTTGATCGCAGTGAGGTTTATGCCACCAGCGCACCAGCGGCTTCCCTGTACCAGGATATTCCCATCCGCAACGGACGCGACGGGAGCGAAAGCTCTGTCTAGGCCATGCTTTGTCTTTTGTAGAATCCAAGACCAGAGTCATGGCCGTTGTTCTTTTTTTTTGCGCTTGAAGTCTCCCCGTTTGCTGCTGCTTCCTCTTTCTTTTCTTCTCTTTTCGCTCTCCTTTTCCTTAGCTATCTGAATTGTACTCGACCAAATGCAAAACTTTTGCGTAGGCATGCCAGCAGCGGCCGCCTCGAAAGCCCGCATAGCTGCAGGGATTGACGACCAATGGGCAACTCTGAAAGTGAACAGTTTCAAGTTGGGGTCTACAATGGGTGGCGTTCAGCTGATTTGCTTGGCGTCGATGACAGACAAACAGATGGAACTAAAACTGAGAGAGGCTCGAAAGACCAAAAAGCCAGGCTAATTTCATGCCCGAACACAGTGCCGACGAAAACCAACAACAACAACAACAACGGCATTGGGCGTGGAAATGAGAGTGTGTACAAGGGCATTTTTTTATTGAGTGCTTCACTGAGGACACCGACTACTGCGCAGCAGCTGGTTCGGTGGCAGGTTCAGTGCCATCTCCTTGGTGGTGCACAATCTTCTCGAGCTCCTTCTCATCGTCAGGTCCAAAGTCCCACCAATCGATGCGGACGAAGCGATGATTCTTGTTGAGACCGTCAATGCGCTTCATCTCTTCATCACTGAGCTCAAAGTCAATGTCAAAGTTTTGTTCAATCCGACTTGGGGTCAAGGACTTGGGAATGACGCCCACCTAGAAACAAGGAGGAGAAAAACAAATCATCAAGAGGCAGGCAAGACGTGAGAGGGTCAGCTATGTCGTGAGTCGGGAGGGCAGAGCACGTTGGCCTGCGCAACTGGGCTGAGCGAGAAGACATACGCCGCGTTGAACGTTCCAGCGCAAAGCAACTTGGGCAGCTGACTTGTTGTGCTTGGCACCGATTTCCTGGAGGACGGGATCCTCGATCAGGGAGGGGTCGCCAGGTTGACGGTAGCCAATCTTGCCGAGGGGCGAGTAGGCCGTCACGTGGATATCGTGCTCCTGGCAGAAGCGCACGAGGTTGTAATTGCTGTGATACGGATGCAGCTCGACCTCATTCGCGATGGGGCGGATCTTGCAGTAGCTCAGCAAATCCTTGAGCAGGCGAATGCAGAAATTGGACACGCCAATGCTTTTGATCTTGCCCTCCTCGACCAGGCCCTCGAGGGCCGTCCAGGTGTCACGCATGGTCACGGTGCTATCGGGTTTGTAGTTGTGGGTTCCTCCATGCTCCGCGTCAGCAAGCGCAGCGCCAGGCACCCAAGGCGAGGGCCAATGAATCATGAAGCAGTCGAGATAATCCAGTCCCAGGCGCTTGAGGCTACCAGCGCATGATTCGCGGACGCGGTCTGGTCGGTGATCGTCATTCCACAGCTTGGTGACAATGAACAATTCCTCTCGCTTGACCAAACCTGAGGTTGAGGGCAAAGTCATGAGCAACAGGTGTGTGTGCGCGCGCGCGAAAGGAGCGGTGGATAGCATGACAGAGGGCCTGTTGTTGGGGAATCTGAACGCGCTCGAACCTTCATCGATGCACTCATTGATGGCTTTGCCAATCTCGAGCTCATTGCCATAAAGCTTGGCGCAGTCAAAGTGGCGATAGCCAACCTTGATAGCATGCTTGACGGCAGCCGCGACCTTGTCGTTGTCGCGGAATTCACTGCACAAGGAGGGCATTGTTAAGGTCTGTGAGTGACAGCGCTCAAGAAGGCAGTTCACTGTTGCTTTGCGAGGTGTGAACATCTCATTTCGTACTTGAAGGTGCCGAAGCCAACCAGTGGAACATGGCTTGATTCAGGCATCGTGGCTGCGTGGGGGTGGTGGACGCGTTGATAAAAAAAGAAAAGAAAAAAAAAAAACCCAATGAGATGCGCCGTGGGCAACGGGCGGGCAGGATGAATAGGAGAACGCACCGGAATGCGTTTGCTCAAGCTCAGTCGTCAGTTGGCTTAAAATTAGGGAAATGCCCGGTTCTTTGAGGCAGACCTATGAAACGCGTGGTGGTGGTGTCCACAAGCGAGTGCGATTGGAACGAGATAAAACGAGTGAAAGTGTGAGTGGAGAAGGGCAAGGCCATTCTGGAGCCATTCGCGCATCGCGCGCAAGACGAGGAGGACACTGTTGACTAACGAGGACAAGCCACCCAAAGCGACGAGAGAAAATACATGTGTAGACCAAAAGTGGAAAACAACACTGTGCATGTGTGGCAGGGCGGGAGCAGACATGGCCGGCAGGGGCAAGCATGGCAGGCGTGGGTCAACGGATAAAGATGAGCAAGCAAGGGGCCGAGTGACTTGGAGTCGTTGTTCTTTCTTGTTGACACCGAGCCACATGCTGTCATTGCCCTACCTATGGTAATTAAAAAATGCAGTTCAAGGGGAGCAAGGCTCTTGGCAAAGCAGGCCGACGTGGAGAGCCAACGAGCCGACGTATAGCGGGTTGATCCGTGTCGGGGGCGAGTCAGAGGCGGGCGGGCGGGTGATGCTAGCGTGTTCTGAACTGAACGCAAATGTGCCGTCGGCACCTGTGCGAGCTGGAGCCCCCTCTTGGCTTGTGGAGAAGATGCAGATAAAAACAGTGTTGTTGTAGAGATTATTGTAACTCAGAGGTAAATGTGTGGTATATTAGCTGGGGTTAATGAGCATGCTGTTGGAGGTTATCGTCGTGGAAGGAATGTCAGCTATTTCTTTCCAGTGGATCTCACAAAGTGTGCCATGAACGAAGAAAGCCGGTGAGATAAGTTGTTGTAGAAAATATCGTGGTTATCGTAGCTCTACAACGTTTTTAGCACTCCAAAATGGGAGAGAAGATGCATATTATATCTGCGTCGGTGCAGACGTAGAAGAAGCAAGAAGAAGAAGAAAGAAATGATGACAATAAAAGTCTAATCTTATCACACTTTAGGGTAGTATCCCAATGTGCAGAGAGACTGAGAGACTGGACGGTACAATCTGACAATTTGCTTTTGAGAAGAGGAGAGCGAGGCGGAACCGATCATGGCGGCCATGCGTACACGATTGCGCTTGACGGCCCGCGTGGCTCAGCCGGTCGGTTCTCTTGATGCAGGATGCAGCGGCGGGGGATGAGAGGGGGGAAGAAGGGGGGGGAAAAGGAACCGGATGGAATGGGATTGATAACGAGGCGGGGTTTTGAGGGGCATCTTGTGGGTATCGTTTGGCTCGATTTCACGGCGAGATGTTTGTATAGCTGCCGCAGGGGGTTAAGCTCCTCGCATTTGCCGGTGCCGAGCCGAATGCGCTCATTGTGTGTGGCTACAGCCGTGAGAAGCTTTCTGCCGAGATACCAGCCGGTTGGTTTATGCAGCGGGTGCCAAGCTAGCGCTTCGAGCTGGGGCTGGCCCAACCTTGATGCCCTTGGCTTCTCACGGGCCAAATGTTGGATGGGACATAGGTGTCTTTTACCTTGAGGATGCGGGCTATGCCGTCTCGTGGAGTCCCGCCACAGCGGATGGTGCAGCTCTAGCGGACAGCCTTGTCAAAGTTGAATCCATCACACTGCATGATCAACCCTGCTCTTTGGGTCCGTCATGCCTGCGCGAGATTTCTTATCTTCTCCCCGCTTCTTCTCTTGCTCCCAAATGGGCAGCTGCTTCTTATCCTCATCGGCTCCATCTTGGCTCATCCCAACCAGATACCGGAGCGTCTGCGGACGAGCCAACGACCCCCGAGCTGCTGTTGCGTGTGCAACTCTCGGCTACCCTGCCCAAGGCCATGGGTAAGGGACCTGGCCCTCCATTCATAGTTTTGAGAATCGGCCCCTGCACCTCTGTCGCATGATCTCATGTCGTGAAATGGCAGACACACATGTGCTGGGTTGGCTTGACCTTGACCATCTCCAGCTGCTGGTTCCGGCAACCAACCGTCTCTTTGCGGCTGCATCGCTTGACAACGCCACGGCAGACGCTCTTTTCGAATCTCCTCCCGGTCAGGACGCGGTCGTACTGGACCGAGCGTGATCCTTTGGCGCGCTTTCTGGTGCACTCACCTTGGCCTGAGTTTCCTCCACCTTTGGCCACCTCTCTGTCTACTATAGCGCTCCCAGCCTTGGAAAGCGCCTTGGCCAGTGACACAAGCAGCAACACCAAGGGTGGCAAAGGGAACAAGGGGAATAAGGGCGGCAAAGCCGGCAAAGGGAACAAGACAGCCACACCCACAGCACGGCATGCTGCTCCAGTCGTCCCCGAGCTGTCTCGAGACCAATGCTTGGATCTGCGCGTTTTGACTTCGTGCGCGCCAGACTTGCCGTCGGAAACCGGAATCCTGACGGGTGCGTCTCGCAGTCTGTTTCCCTTCTCGTTAATTTTTTTTTTTCCATTTCTCTAGCTTGTTTGATCCCTCATGACGTCGGTCGATGGACAGGCGCCCCCGAGGCGGCCACACTGTACCAGGTCCATTTGGATGTACTGGTCTACAGCTATCGCAGCCAGCCGTTGCGCTTGCTTCTGGCCGGTCTTCAAGCCCGTCTGTTGCAACAGCTGCGTCAAGCCCTTGCGCAGGTGAGCACCTCTGTGCCTTCTTTTTCTGTCACACGTATTATTGCGACCAGAGCAAGGATTTGTTCTCTCGAACTTTGTGATGTGCTCCATATCATGCCTTGGTTTCCCGTTTGTTTTCATGACCGTTGTATCATAGGGTGGGGCTTTTCACCACTTTTTGCCGCGACACTGTCAGCATCACGTGGCGGCGCTCACAGTTGGCGGCGAGAAGGCTGAGACTAGCTCTGAAAACGGTGCGCATCTCATGTTGGCATTCTGCCTTACCTACTGGTGTCTGCTGACCTTTGCTACCCGCCTTTTTGGACCGCTGGAATTTGCGGGTGCATTCCTGGCAGCGAATCGTCGTCGTCGCCTGCAGCACAGTCTAGCACTCCCCGAGGATCGCCCAGCGTTTCGTGCAGCTCAATGTTGCTTCAGTCCTCTCCAGAGTCAGCCAGGTATGAAGCGTGCGCCAGGCTCGACAAAATCTCTTGTGCGTGTGTGTGTGTGTGCGTGTGTGTGTGTGTGTGTGTGTGTGTGTGTTGGCCATCACTTGCCTCGCCGTGATCCCACCCACGCCCATGTCTAGACCGTCTGCGCAATATCCACCGTCACGTGCACGCGACCCCCTTGCCGGATGGCGAACGCTTTCTGGTCGACGGCGATTACGACTACTATCACTACATGCAAGACCGCTTTGATGACAACGTGTGTTTGTTTGTTCAATCCAGACACGCGTGCGCGTGGCTTTGATGGTCCGCGTCCTAATGTTTGTTTGTCGTCTCATCTACGTGTCACGCTCCATTTGGCTTGCCACACAGGGTTGGGGCTGTGCCTACCGCTCGTGCCAGACCATTTGTAGCTGGTTCTTGCTTCAGGGCTATAGTCAACAGTCGGTGCCCACCCATGCTCAGATCCAGCAGGTCAGGGCAGAGGGGCCGTCTTGCCGAAATTCTGTTTTTGCCATTGACTTTTGCTGGGAAGCCGGCTCCAGGCTACGAGGGCAGCTGCTGCAGGCTCATCCTGTTTCGGGGTGACGGTTGCCATCTTTCCTGCTCGTTGCCTTTTTTTTTTTTTTTTTTAGACGCTTGTGAATGTGGGAGACAAGCGGAAGAGCTTTGTTGGGTCGCGGCAATGGATCGGCTCGCAAGAAATTTTCTTTGTTTTGGGCGAGTGGTTCAAGGCCGAATTTGAGTTGGAGAGTCGCTTCATCGCTCAAGTGCTTGGCGCTGACTTGAGCACCAAAGGTGAGCAGTGCCACGACAGCTGGCACAGCGCGCATGTGAGGAATTAAATTTGTGCTTCTTCTCACGATTCGGCGTTGTCACAGCACGTGAGCTTGCTCATCATTTTCGCACTGTCGGCACACCCGTGATGATTGGTGAGTCTTGTGCGCTGGTGCCTCTCCCATTTTTGAAATCTTGCAACCGATCGGCTGCACAGACCCTTTTGTCTGATTCACGAGGGCGCCGGGAGGCTTCATGTTGGTCGTGCCTATTTACTGAGCACGGGTTGAATATTGGTTTGTTTTGCAGGCGGCAACATGCTGGCTCACACCATTTTGGGGATCGATTGGGATTCTGCGCTGGGCGATGTGCGGTGCGTTCATTGGGACAGTAGGCTGCCACTATCACTGCTGTTTTGGCTGGGCAAGGAGAAAACAGGGCGCTTGGGGTAGCCGTGTTTTCCATCTTGTGATTGATCTGAACACACACTCTCTCGCTCTCAGGCTCTCGCTCTTTTGCTCTCGCTCTCACGCTCTCGCTCTCACGCTCTCGCTCTCACGCTCTCGCTCTCTATTTTCAATCGGGTGCAGCTGGCTGGTTTTGGATCCGCACTATACGGGCACGGATGACATCAAGACCATTGTGGTATGGTGGCATGGCTTCAGGCAGCTAGAGCCATGATGGTGTTTTGTGCACGCTCTTATTGAGGGTGATTGATTGTGACTGTGTCCCAATTTGTAGAACAAAGGCTGGTGCGGCTGGAAGGAGCCGTCGTTCTGGAAAGATTCCGCCATGTACAACCTCTTCCTACCTGGCCGGCCCACCATGATTTAACACAGCTCGAATTGCGTCTTGTCGTATTTTGCCGAATCATGCATATCACTGAGACAAGCACCCAACAATCAAAGCCCTATCCTTTCCAAATGTCCCAATGATGGTAGCCTGGCATCATTCTCATCACACCACGGCCCCACCCCCTGACTCATCATGATTCTAATCGGCGCCATCTGAAAAACTCCGTGAGAGGGAAAAAAGAGAGAGAGAGAAATAGAGAAATAGAGAGAGAGAAAGACCTATAGAGCAGGAGAGAGAGAGAGAGAGAGGTTCTCGCCATGATGATGACATGACATGACCATAACACCATAATAACAGAAACTGTTCAAGGTGTGGCCTGATTGCGCCATCGACATCAAAACGAAGATCCGAAAGCTGACGAAGATGCCGAAGATGACGAAGAAGATGCAGAACAAGTTGAAGAACAAGCCGAAGAAAACACGGGTCACGGCAGGAAGATGCAGCACAAGTCAACGATGAAGAAGCAAGGTTTGGCGTCGCATCTGCAAGCGCGCGTCATAAAAACACTTTGTTGACGTGTTGTGAGTGTGTTGTGCTTGCTGTTTCCTTAGGGGAGGTACGAGCGCGCGCTCAAGGACACACACACACACAGACACACACACACAGACACACACACACAGAGGCACACACACAGAGGCACACACACAACGAGATCTGCGCTTCCTTCAACCCGGACCGGTGCTGGTCGGTGTGTGGTTTTCAGTGGTTGGGTCAGCGTCCTCTCGATCATGCTCATTGGGGGTGATCGGTTCATTTTTCTGGTAGACCCTGCGGTGGCTGTGGTGTCGCTTGACCTGCCCCGCCCGCGTCCCTTTGCGTGCCTCGAATAACAATTTGCCCGTTGGGACGTGATCCCCTTCTGAACCTTGACGACCCACTGGGACGGTGACACATGCCACTGTCGCGCCATTCTTGACAACTTCCACTGCGAGAGGTAAGAGAGGGCTCCGTTTGGAGCCGTCGATCGCGCGCACTGGTTCTGCCCACACCATGCCTGCCCCTGCGCGCCTCCCCATGTCCCTTTTCTTCCTTGCCTCCCTCGTGGTTCTTCGTCTTCGTTCGGTTTCAAGTGCATCAGCCTTCCCTTGCCTCTCGCTTCTCTGAGCTGCTTCCTGCTCTTTCAACCTGCATCACTGTCAGTGAGCTCACGCACGGCCTGCCTCCTTTTCTTCGTCAGGCATTTTTCTCCCCTCTCTGTTCTTTCGTGCCCAGTGCCACGATCGCGGCGCGGCTGCCGTTGAAGTCTTCTTCTAAGTCATCCTTGCCCTCTTTCTCCGAGCGCTTTGCCAGTGGAGATTTCCCCACAGTGCACAGCAGAGCCCACCGCAGACTTGCGGTGGCATAGTTTGCCTCCCTGCTTCATAAACAACGAGTGACGACCAGGAACCATGTACGCGTTGCGCCTTACACGAGGTGCACCCGGGGGCCTTGGGCTTCTTGGGCAAAATATGATCAAGTCCAGCCCAATTCCACGGCTGGGGGTGCGCCCCACGCTTGTCAGCAGCGCACCCACCCGTCGCGGTCTCCATGGCCTGGCCGTCGGTGTGGTCCGAGAGTCAGACAAGGATGAGGCGCGCGTCGCCATTGCCCCGGCTCACGCAGCCAAGCTCATCAAGGCCGGTGCCACCGTCACCGTCGAATCAGGTGCCGGCGAGCGCAGCGGCTTCAAGGACGAAGAATATCGTGAGGCTGGTGCGCAAGTAGCCGACGCTGCTCACACCTGGCAACAGCAACTTGTGGCCAAAGTCTTGCCCCCGACTGCCGATGAGGCTGCCCGCATTGAGAACCGCACCCTCCTTGGCATTGTCCAGCCCAACGTCCACCCAGAGCTCACCAAGCAGCTCGCCGGTCAAGGCGCGACCGTCCTTTCCCTTGACAGCCTCTTGCGTACCCTCTCCCGCGGCCAAGCCTTTGATGTTCTCAGCTCCCAAGCCAACGTGGCCGGCTATCGCGCCGTCATGGAAGCCGGTATCCACTTGCCTCGCCCGCTAGCGGGCTCAACCTCAGCCGCTGGCAAAGTGCGCCCTGCCAACGTGCTCGTTGTTGGCGCCGGTGTGGCCGGTCTTGCCGCCCTGCAACTAGCCAAGAAGAACGGCGCCATCACCCACGGATTTGATGTCCGCTCCGCCGCCAAGGAGCAAGTTGAAGCCGTCGGTGCCAAGTTTGTCGTAGTGGACTCTGGTGAGGATGGCTCTGGACAGGGCGGCTACGCCAAAGAAATGAGCCCCGAATGGTTTCAGGCCGCCGAGCGCAAATTGCTTGAGCAAGCCAAGAACATGGACGTCATCATTACAACTGCCCTCATCCCAGGCAAACCGGCCCCCAAGCTCATCACCAAAGCCATGGTTTGTTAATCCCACCCACCCCGCGCTTTTGAGGCGGGGTAACATTCGGTCACCTCGGCAGGCGCGCCATGCTTGGGCTCACATCACCTGTGCCATTGACACAATGAAATTCCCTAGGTTGAAGCCATGCCCAAGGGCGGCGTTACAGTTGACCTGGCTGCCAAGGCAGGGGGCAACGTGGAAACCACCGTGCCCGGTCAGGTCGTCACCCTGCCCGGCGACAAGACTTGCGTCGGCTACACCAACATGGAGTCGCGCATGGCTCCCACAGCCAGCTTTCTGTTTTCAGGCAACGTCTCCAATTTTCTTCTCTCGATGCAAGATGCCGACAAGAACTACACCGTGAACCTGGAGGATCCTGCTGTCCGATCCGTGTGTGTGGTTCACAAAGGAGAAAGCCTGCCCCCATATGTCCCTCCAGCCCCCAAAACCCCTCCACCCCAGTCCACCACTCCCGAACCCGAAGCTCCTCCGCTCAACCCCCAGACAGAGTACTTGCGCTCGGCAGGCCTGGCCACCATCGGTACCTCTTCGGCACTGGCGCTCGCTAGTTTCGTGCCCAACTCGGCCATGATGTCCACCTTTGCTCTGAGTTGCTGGGTGGGTAACAGCTGTGTTAAGGGCGTCACGCACGCCCTCCATTCGCCTCTGATGGCGCAGACCAATGCCATCTCTGGTCTTACCATTGTCGGTGGCATGCTGCAGCTCGGTAAGTTCTGCTTGATCCATTGGGAGCCTTGCTGGCAGAAGAAGATGACCGCCCCCCTCGCCTCTTGTCTTTGCACATCCTTGCAACTCTAACTGGCCTGGCCTCTCTCTGGCTTCCAACCCCATAGGTGGTGGTTATCTCCCAGGTACCGTCCCACAGGTGCTAGCAGCAACCGCTGTTGGACTGTCTGCCGTGAACCTGGCGGGTGGAACGCTGGTCACCAAGAAAATGCTGGATATGTTCCGCCGCCCCGATGACCCACCTGAATACAACCACTACTACCTGGCTCCTGGTGCGGTTGCCATCGGCAGTGCGGCCCTGCTTTACGGCACGGGTAATGCCCCGGCGGCCCTGGCACCCATGCTCGGACTGGCCTCGGCGCTGGGCTGCGTTGGAGGCATTGCCTGTCTATCCTCGCAGCAAACCGCCCGCCTGGGCATTTATGTTGGTTTGAGCGGCATTGCAACTGGCATCACTTCCACCCTGGCATATATGCATCCAGAGCAGACTGCCACGTATGCCCAGCTGCTGGCCCTGGGTGGCAGCGGTGCTGCTCTGGGTGGCTATTTGGCAACCAAAATCAGTCCCACTGAGCTTCCCCAGGCGGTAGCTGCCTTCCACTCGCTTGTGGGTATTGCAGCCACTTGCACAGCCGTCGGCGACTACATGCTTCACGACCAAAGCAAAATGGAAGCTTTCCACAATGCGTCAGTGTATCTCGGGGCGTGGATGGGTGCCATCACCGCGACAGGGTCTGTCATTGCTTACGGCAAACTCGCCGGCTCCTTGGGCTCTGCCGCGCTCAAGCTTCCTGGACGTGATGCCATCAATGCCGGCTTGGGTCTGACCAGTGTTGCTGGCCTTGCTGGCTTCTTGATGACCAAGGACCCCATGCTTGCTCAAATGAGCCTCGGTGCGGGTGTGGTCTCGTCTGGTGCCTTGGGCTTGCACATGACAGCCTCCATTGGCGGCGCCGATATGCCAGTCGTGATCACCTTGCTCAACTCTTACTCTGGTTGGGCCCTTTGTGCCGAAGGCTTCCTGCTGGACCAGCCGCTGTTGACCGTGGTGGGTGCCCTCATCGGGTCGTCGGGCGCCTTCCTCACGCGTGTCATGTGCGATGCCATGAACCGATCTCTCCCAAACGTCATTTTGGGTGGCTTTGGAACGCCCACGGGCGCAGCCGCCAAGAGCGACGGTAATGCTGAAGCACTCATTCACACGGAAACAGACGCCACCGGCGCTGCAGAAATGTTGCGCAGCGCCGACAAGGTTGTGATTGTGCCTGGTTATGGCTTGGCCGTTGCTCAAGCTGCCAGTGTGGTGGCCGACATTGCCCTGCGCCTCCGTGAGGAGGGCAAGGATGTCAAGTTTGCTGTTCACCCAGTGGCAGGACGCATGCCGGGCCAGCTCAATGTGCTGCTGGCCGAGGTTGGCGTGCCCTATGACATGGTTTTCGAAATGGAAGACATTAATGATGAAATGGCAGATGCTGATGTGACGTTGGTCATCGGGGCCAACGACACGGTGAACAGTGCGGCCGAAGAGGACCCCAACAGTGCCATTGCGGGCATGCCCGTCATCCAGGTCTGGAAGTCGAAGAAGGTCATCTTTATGAAGCGCAGCATGGCTGCTGGCTATGCTGGCGTTGATAATCCCGTCTTCTTCAAGGAAAACACGGACATGTTGCTTGGTAATGCCAAGGACACGTGTGATGCCATCAACAAGGCGCTTCAGGCATAGGTCGCAAAGCCCCTGTTGCACATTTGGCCTCCACCTGACTTTGTGTCCTTTGTTTCGTGTCTTGATTTGTACCTACCCTCTTTGACGCCGTGCGTCACCAAGGGGGGCCCAGGGGTGCTGGAAACAGCAAGCGTGCTCGCCCTTTGGCCTCCCCGTACTCTTCGAATTGACTCGCTCCTGACAAGGTATCTTTTCAAAAGTAACATACATCAACGAATAACCACAAACAAAACCCATCTGCCACCTCAATTTCATGGCTCTTGACGCCCGAGAAGAAAGTCTTACGCTCGCCACAGTTCGTGCTGTAAACTCAATTGCCTATGGTGACAGCTGCGTGCCGTCAAACACTCTCAAGAGTCAGAAGACATCCTACACTAATGGCCGTTGGCGTTCTCCATGACAGCTGCATTGGCAACCAATTGTGCGAACCGGGACGAGGAGTTTGCCAGCAGCGTTTCCGGAGAATCAAATTCCATGAGCTCGCCATCATCAAGAACCATGATACGATCCGCGTCCACAATAGTATCCAGTCTACCCAAGAGCACGCTCGGATGAGAATAAATCACGTGTGTGGGGCAGCGTCCATGGGAGTCTGCAGAAGGGCGTGCTGAGGGTGCGCGCGTACCGGTGCGCGATAATCAGCAAGGTACGTTTGCCCGAAAACTCCCGCTCAATTGTGTCTTGAATGGCTTGGTCCGTCTTGGCATCGGCCGAGCTTGTGGCTTCATCCAGCAACAGGATTCGACTGTCTCGAAGCAGCGCCCTGCAGAACATGCGTTGAGATGAGACGAATGAGGTCTAGTTCTTCGTGAGCGCATTGCTGCGCGAGCTTGATATGCATGCAGCGCGCAGCATGCCAGCAGGCCAGGAAAGAGGTATTTTTCAGCCTTGTGAGAGAACGCTACGAACCGAGCGAGGCACAGCAGCTGTCGTTCGCCCACGGAAAAGTTCTCGCCATTCTCAACCACCTATTCAAAAGCGTGAATTGGTGTGAGACAAGCGTTTGGATTGGGCATCAGCCTGATCCAGCTGGGTTGGAGTTGAGCAGATTCAATCGCGTCGTACGGACCGGTGACATGAGGCCTGAAGGCAGGGCCTGAATGGTTTGCTTCAAGTGGGCCTTCTCCAACGCATCCCAGAGAGCCTCATCTGTGGCCTCATCAAAGGGGTCCAGGTTGCTACGCACCGTCCCCACAAACATGGTAGGGTCCTGATTGGGAGGGCGCGACAAGGTGAGATAGGGCAAAACACATCACGCCGCAGAACGCATCTTCCAATCCCTCAGGCTCAAGTCTGGAGCAGAGGAACCTGTGTGGCTGACCTGGGGGATGATAGCAAGCTTGGAACGCAGCGTGTGAAGGCCCAGCTCGGCGATGCTTCGTCCATCAATCTCAATGGAGCCGCTTTCCAGTTCCAACAGCCGATACAGCACCAGCATGAGGGTGCTCTTACCGCTTCCTGCCCAGGCCATACACACATGCATAAACGGGCACGCCAGGCAATTCGGTTGAGTTTGCAAAGTACATGGGTGTTGGAAATCGTGTGAGCGAGGCGCAAAGGTTCACGCGTCAATGCAAGAAAAACCAACCAGTACGACCGGCAATGCCAATTTTTTCACAGGGCTTGATGTCAAAGCTGATGTTGCGCAAAACTGGTGGCAGATCGGGACGATACCGAACGAAAACGTCGCGAAAGGTAATGCCGCCAGCACTGGGCCAGACATTGGCCGGGGGATCCTCAGGGCGTTGCGCGGGTGCTTCACTTGGTAGGTCAGTAATGTACCCAGTGATGCGCTCAACGGCCGTAAAACGCGCCTCTGTCTCAGCCGTAAGGCTACGGTCACCAAGAACAATGAAAAAAAAAAAAAAAAAATAAAAAATAAAAAAATAAAAAAGTGAGTGAGCTTGAGCTTCCAAGAATGCACAGAAGGAAGCTTGATCGCAAACAGTCGTCATCAGTCAAGATCGGGCTCCAGCACACTTGCTAGCGAGCTTACCGCGTGGTGAATTGAAACATGCCACCCAAGGAAGAAACATCTGCCAGTCACAACCGAAGCGGAGCAGCCAGGATCAGGAAATAAATGCTCGGGCATCGTGTGGTAGATAATGTGTTGGGGACGGATCAAGGTACACGAGCAGCCGGCTTACAAAGAAGACCAAGGCCTGCCAGCTCTGGATCAATGTCATTGCGAAGAATGAGCATGAGCACGGCCACAGAGGCCGTCAGCATGATGGTCACAAAGTCCAGGCGATACGCGAACCAGCGGCTCGAGTCTACGCAGAAGTTCAGAGCGGAGGAGGGCGGGTCAGCTTTTGATCCATCTGATCAACCTGGTCAGAAGCAAAGCAATCTCAAAGAGTTATTCAAGTAACGCGTCAGCGACATACACCAAAATGAATAAAACGCCATGGTATTTTCGTCCAAACGCAAACACAGCTCGCGCAAAAACGGCCGTTCTTTTGCAAAAGCATGAAGGGTGGGCAAGCCTGATTGAAGACCGAATAGTTGGGTTATCGAGAGCAAAGTGAGCATCTTTCATGTCCTCCAGGCAGGCATAGTCGAGAGCAATTTGCTCAGTTGGCAAGGCGCGGAAAGTGAAGCGAGCCACACCTTGCAGAGTAGCGGTCAGATGGGAAAAGAGTGGGCTGCGAGAAATGTTATCCAGGCGCTTGGTCTCGCGTTGAGTTGGTCGGAAGTAACGAACGAGGTACACGTAGAAGCACATGATGGGCACCAACGGAATGAGGAACCATGGAACAACATCTGCATTGAAGCGCCACGGGCGGGGCAGGGTGAGAGTTGATCTTAATAGCATTTCGCATCAGGAACAAGTTCAAGACGAAGCTGCTTGATACGCACACGCTACAACACCCAGCGAGAAAATGATCAAGAACATGTTTTGCAGGAGTTGCTCCAACACCGCAGGTAATTGGACATCGACGTCATCCAGGTCCTGTGGGAAAGGCACATGACACGAGCGGTGTTGGTCAGACCTGAGGGGGTGATGGTAACAGCGCCTGGCACTAGTCATCATTCGATGTGGGTATCAAAATTAGTGGTGCTTCGGCTGACCTTTGCAAAGCGGTTGAGGATTCGGCCCGTAGGCGTTGAGTCGAAGAATGCCATGGGGGCCTGCATAATCTTGGCAAAGACCTATCTCAAGATGCATCGTCAGCACTACTCCAGTACTTGCCAATACGCCCATACAAGCAGCACGAGGTCAGCCGTCACGAGAATAATGACGACGCATGGACTCGCCTGAGAATGTAGATGGGTCGAAGCAGCCAGTACGCGCTGGTTGTATAGGAAAGCACGGAAGGCCGTGACAAGCAGTAAAGCGACGGCACTCATGCCGTAAATGAGGCTGTATGTATCCACGTTGTCATTGTCCGAAATGTTGCCGGGATCAGCCGCATTGGTGTCGTCTCCGTCACCTTGGCCCAGCCACCAGCTCAAGAAAATGTCCGAGGCATTTTTCAAGGCGACGGCCAGGATGAAAAGAAAAAGGACGAAAATGGCCACGGCCATACCACCCGAGGCCCGGGCGTACTGTGCCATCGGGAATGCCAACGAGGAAACGGCCATTCGTGAGCGAGTGGTGGGACCTCCTTTCAAAAACAAAACTAAAATCAAAATCGACCACATTCTGAGACAGTCACTGACTTTGGAGTAGGTCGAGAGGTTGACGGCGCCCTTTTCGCGCAACTCTGCTTGTACGAGTTGTTGACCGTCCTTTTTGGGTTCAGAGGGTTCTTCCTTTGTAGATTTAGTGTCCTCAGCTTCAGCAATAGTTTTGATCGAGGGGGCGTCTGAGCCCACTTTACCGTTTTGCTGGCGCTCTTCCACGAGATTGCGAACGAGCTGCCCAAGGGTCGAACGACGCTCACGCTTGCTTTCAAGGCGGCTGGGTGTTGGGGTATTGGTCTGGGGAAGCACTGAGGAGGTTGTAGTTTGTGATGCAAGCCGATCACCATCATTCGTACGCAGAGTTGGCTCGTCTTCTGCCTCATTTGAATCCAACTGCTCGCGGGCCTGAATCAGAGCCGAGAAGCCTATCAAGTTTTTTCAAAAGTCTGCGTGAGGGAGCTGTGTCGCATTGCACCCATGAACGCCCGAGCCGTGATCGTGTGTGCATTTATACGCACCAGCACCTTCCGCGATGAGTTCAGCGTAGGTGCCATCTTGAGCCACGCGTCCACCTTCCATGTATATCACACGGTCGCATTGGGGCAGGAACTGCGCACCGACATCGTGGTGTTGGAAAATCCCAGCAGCGTAAGTAGTTGAAGGCGGAGTTTGATAGGTTGGGGTTGGCGCTTTAGCCATGACCTTGAAGCAAAGGGCCAACCTGGAGCTGATGTGTAACAAAGACAACCGTTTTGCCGCGCAAGCTTCCGCGAAGGCACTTTTCAAAGATGTGGCGACCCACGTTGGCATCAACCGCACTCAGAGGATCGTCTAGAGGGTGCATGGTCAGTCGAGCATAAGAACGGTGAAGAAGCGTGGCGGGCGGGAGTAGACGAAAGTGAAGTGCTCAAGATTTTGGTCTTGTGGCGGATGGGCGCACGAGTGCGTGGAGTGTGGCTCCGTTCGTACCCAGGAGGTAGATATCACAATCACTATAAACAGCCCTTGCCAGGCTCACGCGTTGCTTTTGTCCTGTTGCCACATCGAACGCCGGGGACAGGGGTGAGGTAGGGTCTGGCGTTGATTACGGGCGCTGCAACTCGCGACCTACCTCCACTGAGATTGATGCCACGTTCACTGGAGTTGAGCGACAGCAAATCATAGCATGAGTTTCTTTCTGATGTACACTGTGCCACAAGGCTTTGAAAGCAGTTTGCGGGCCGGATACTGTCGTGCCCCGCTGCCGTCTGCGCTCAATATAGACTAGGGCTTACCCAATTTCAGTTGCATCGCCGCCTGGCAAGGCTTCGAGATCTGGCTCCAAACAAGCCACGTGTAGAGCGTGCTTGTACTTTTCCTCATCGAAATCCTATGCAACAAATATGAAAATAACAACAAACGAAGGAACATGAAGAAGCCGGGACTTGATAAAGGCGTGGCGTGAGGCTAGCACAATGTTGACGACGCAGCCCGACCTCGCCAAAAAGGATGTTTTCCTTGAGCGACATGAACTGAATCCATGCTTGCTGTGAGACATAGGCGATGCGGTCACCACAGCGAATTTGGCCTGATTGAACCTTCATCTGCCCGATGATGGCACTCAACAGCGAGCTCTTGCCCGAGCCAACGCCGCCGCAAACACCGATCAGCTGGCCACGCGGGACGTGAAGGTTAATGTCGAATAGGACGGGTATGTCTTGAGGTTCTGGCAAGGCTGCTTCGCTGTTTGCTGATTTGCGAGCACGGCGCCGCTTGACCTTGTCTGTTAAACCAGAGGGAGGACATCATGGCGGTCAGAGCTCACGTGTTGATGTTCATCTTCCTTTGGTGTGGTGTCGACGGCAGCGGAAAGCGTGAGAGCGGGCGAGCCCACCTTTTTTTTTTGGATCACCGGTGGTGGGGGTGTGGGTGACGGCGGTCCAAGCAACGGTTGCATTGCTGATTTCAATCACGTTGGAGCTTTTGAGGGGTGCGGGAAACCTGATCTGTCGATTTTCGAGTAGAAGAAATCGCTTCAAGCGTTGCAAGCCCACCATGGTTTCAGAGAGCGCCTATCAGGGGTTTTGGGGGGGGGGGTGCAATACACAAATGGGGGTTTGTGACGTGATGTGGTGGTGTGCAACAACAGAGTACGCAACGATACCACACGTACCCGCACGGCACGTGGCACTGTGGCAAAGGAGAATCGCATCAGATTGAAGAGGGCCAGGGTGGCAAAGGCGTCACTGGCGGAAACATCTCCACCGGTTGCAGCCGTAAGAGAAAAGGTCAAGACCCCGGCGCAAACTGGGGCCACGGGCACAATGCTGGCCAGGCCCGACTGGATGTAGGCGGCGATTGTGAGGACGCCACGTTCTTGTTCGCGGATGGCGGCAATGCGCTCTGTGAAAGGTTTTTCCCAGGCGTACATCTAGGATGGCATCCCAGGGTGATGGTCGATGAGTGAGCTAGAGTCTTCAACGTGGCATACAACACACACACACACACAACAAAAAAAAAAACAAAAACAAAAACGGCACGGCCTGCAGGGTGCGACACACCTTGACCAGCTTCATGCTGTTGAGGAGCTCGCTCATGAGACGGATGCGTTGATCGGTGAGAACAACGCCGCGGCGACGCAGGGTGCCCGAGTATTTCGCCACGATTGACTGGAGTGGGATCATAAATACGTAGATACTGCAGCCCAAGATGGCAAAGGGACCCACGTAGAGGGAAGTGACAACAACGACCACAATGGTCATAAGGAGCGACGTTCCAATGAAGCAGGTCATTGTTGACGCGTCTGCGAGCAAGAAGGCAGCAGTCAGCGCGAGGCAGAGAGGCAGAATCGTGAAGGGGCGCCAACGAGTGGTAGGCTAGAGGTGTCAGGGTTTGAGACCTGGTACGTATCAAGTACACAGGCACCGACCGAAGAGACGTTGACCATCGCTGGAACTCAGATTGACGAGCTCGCCAACGCTGTAGCCACTTAGATCGCGCAGCTGAATGGCCTTGTGGTACACGGCGCCATACATCATGCTGCGAAGTCCAGTGCCAATCGTGGCTGCGCTGAACCTGTGTTGAGTTAAAGGTGCGATCAGCGCGCCGTGGTGTCAGCACGGGGATGCGCCAGCGCAAACGATTGCCTGACTTTGGACGCACCAGTATTGATGGGCAAAAAGCGAGCGCAGTGCTTCACAGATTACATAGCCAATGGCCAAGAAAACACCATAGCCCACGGTCTTGTCACTGTTGGCGCTCATATAGTCGGTCAGCTCGCGCATGAAGAAGATTGGGGAGAGCATGAAAAAGAGAAGCCAACAGAGCCTGCTCAAAGCGGGGCAGATGCGCGAGAGGGCGTGCGTGGGTTGAGATGCGGGCCATGAGGTAGAAGCGCGGGCCAGATGCCAAGGGTGGCTTCGATGCCGCAGTCATGCCTTGTGAAACACCAGAGGGCTGACATACATGAGGAAGAAGGTAAGCCACATTTTGCCTTTATGCAGCTGGTAAATGACGCGTGCTGGCGAGGCGGCTTCCGGTCCACGCTAAGGGCAAGCAGGGGTGGGGGTGGGCAGCGGCAACAGAGAGTCATGTGGTTGTAGATGAGCGGGGGTATTGCCGGTGGTGATGTTGGCGGCGACGGCAAATAGGCACGTCAATGGGGTGGACAATTGGAGTGGAGCGGCGAGCATACGTCGCGGACTTCCTTCTCCCAGGCCTCGTGAAAGTGATGAATAGTATGGGCCGTGGTCATGGCGGTACCCAGGGGCAGAAGATCGGCAAGGTTGAGCACGGTGCGATGACCGAGCTTGACCAAGGGGGTGACCCAGCCAAAAATAGCCCGACGCAGGATGTTGACGGTGCGTGCGGGCATGGGGCGAAAAGCCTGCTGTTCCAGGGTGGAGCGCAGGCCCAGGCTCATGGCGTCGGCATCGGGGGTGTCGGCATCCGTGGTGAGAGGAATTTCATCCGCCAAGAGGCTGGCCTCGATAACCGAGGTTGGGGCCGGGGCAGCGCGCCCATTGAGTTCGGGCGGGGCAGCTAGGTCGGGATCATTGACGTCCGGAACGGCGCTCACCAACAAATCGTCATCCTATTTGACATGTGGACCAGTGGACCCAGGGTGCGGATGTACGGGTGAATCGGACAGGCGGCTGTGGTGGGCGGAACCTCGAGCCAGTGCCAGCAATGCATTGACTGCTTCCAACGTACCGCCACAGTGCGGGCGTACTGGTGATCCAAGGTGGCTTGCATGTACGATTCGGAGCGAGCCAAGTCGAGCGCATCCTCTGGCGCCCCAAAGTTTGCCATGGTGCTGGTGCTGGCGCTGGTGCGTCTAGCAGTCGGCCAAGGACCTCCACAGTCCGAGCCAAATCACCACCAAAGCTACCCAGGCCGATCCCGACTTGGTCTTGCTTCTTCTCTCCCCAATGGCCCAACACCTCCCCAGGAGACCGCTTGACACACAGCCCCCCTCCTAGTAAAGACAGAGAGAGAGAGAGAGAGAGAGAGAGAGAGAGAGAGAGAGAGAGAGAGAGAGAGAGAGAGAGAGAGAGAGAGAGAGAGAGAGAGAGAGAGACAGACAGAGAGAGAGAGAGAGACCGAGAGAGAGAGAGAGAGAGAGAAAATGAGAGAATGAGAGAAAGAATGTAAATTTTCACACACACACACACACACACACACACACACACACACACACACACACACACACACACACACACACACACACACACACACACACACATTTACATTGGATACATGTGTGGGCCGTGTGTGGGCCGTGTGTGTGTGTGTGTGTATCTGTGTGGATATGACATTGTTGCGACAAGGATAGCTTGGCTTTGTGGGCTGAAGTTTTTCGAGATGGCACGGTGCACCATGGTATCATGCCTCTTCTGTATTGGAGCTCAACACAAACAGTTCCGCGCGCCTCTAGATCGCGCGCAATCTTGTGGTCAAGCCGCTGTCAGTTCCACCACGACCGTTGACTGGCACGGCGCTGCCACTTCAAGCGCTCGAACAGGAGACAGAGACAGAGAGACAGAGACAGAGAAAGAGAGGAGACGGAGACAGAGGCAGAGACACAGACCCAGACACAGACAGAGACAGCGACACAGACAGGGCAGCATGCCACCAATGTCTCCAAATTCTACCTAAACCGCCATCAAGGAGGGATGCTAACCACCACATTGTTTTGGTTCTGGTGGCATATGGGGGGCACGCGGTTGCGGCGTCACTTCTCGTCATCATGTCATGGGTCTGCCATACCAAACATCTGTTTACAACACACGAATGCACAAGTGATTGAAACATATGTTGACAACACGTCTTCATCGAAAACCGGGTAAAGTTGTCTGCGCTATATTTTGGCTGTGCGCACCAACGTGCCCCTTCCCGCCCCGCCACCACCTCCGCCACCTCCGCCTTCACGGGTTCATCGGTCGCTGCGCCGCATTCGCCGCCTGCTTTGGGGCTCCATTAAGAGGTGGACAGGGCGCCGGTGATTGTGGGCCTGCAGCGATTTGCCTTGGTGGCGTGGCCAGATTTTACCATAGGACACGGCCTGGAGGTTGTGGCCAACAAGGTAAGATCGCCGGTGCTTCCGCCAGCTCGCCAGCCAGGGGGTTTTTTTTTGTGGTTCATGGCCGCGGCCCCAATGACCTTCACGGACTGACTTGGTTGGGGCCTGGGATCGCTGGTGATCTCCTCATGGTCTCACTCGAACTCTCCTTCCTTTGGATGAACGCGTCGCACCCCTCCAGCGTGATCAAACAGCACCACAGCCATGAGTGAAGGCTATGCTGCCTTCAAGGAGGCCTTCACCCGTCTTTTGGACGTCAAGGTCGCCCGCACCTTTAACCAAGTCTTGAAAGACTTTATGACCAACCAGGTCCCCTTTTGCAAGTGCCGGTTGCCCCAGACTTGCTTCGCGTTAATCGCTCACGTCCATCCCTTCTCGCCCTGGTCTTTTTCGGGGCCACATGCTCGTAGGACATGCATGCCTTTGTGGACAAACTCAAGGAGATTTGTCTCGATCCGCCCGAGCGGACCGAGCTCCTTTATGTTGTGCGCGCCGTCTTACCCGGTTGGTTGCCTCCTGCTCACAGCCTTGGGCTTGGGTTGCTCAGCCCTCTCCCGCTTGACTCACTCCTTCCTCCTGCGGGGCCTGACATCTGCCGTGGCCAGATATCCTCGTTGAAGCTTACGACAATGAACTCGGCGGGGAACTCTTGAAGATTGCCCAATCCCAGCGCGTACGAACTGCACGCCCAGCGCCACATTCTTGGCGTACGCCATGTGCTGACCCTCACGCGCAACTTGTGCCCGGACTGCCACATGGCCCCTACTATAGGACGGTTCCGATCTCGAGGAGCCGGCCCGCCGATCTTACGAGGTTCACTACCTCGGCAGTGGCGGCCTTACTCACATTCCCACTCTCGACTCTGAAAACGATCAGGAGATGCTGGTGGCTGTTCTCCGCGCCATCTTTGCCAGTGAGCAGACGGCCACCCCCGTCTATTTGGAGCTGACAGCTGATAGCATCCGGTGCGTTTGCTTCTTGTTTCCACATGCGCCCAACCACTGCCTCCCTCGGCTTTGTGTGTTACAACACCCACTTGCGCGTGACTCATGGAACCCACTCGGCATTGCCATGCTCGTGTATGTATCTAGCTCCGTGGATGTGGAAATGGGCCACGCCATCACGACGTGCTCTTTGGAACATACTGTCTACTGCAACATTGTTAACCTTACCGTAAGCTCCAGCCCGTCTTGCCCTTGGGTGCCGAGTGCTCAGCCAGCACAAGTGCAGACGCTGCCGTTCTCCACTCTCAACCCTGTCCCGTGCGCAGGAGTCGGCTGCCGATACAGTCCTGGTCCTGGTCTATCAAGATCCCATTTACGAGATTGTCGTTGCACACTATTACACCTGTAGCCTCGTCTTGGCAAAGGAGGTGGTGGTGGTACGTCCTAGAGGCAGGCACTCGAGCGATCCCCATCCTTGCAGCTGCGTTGCTTCATGTCATGAGCTGGCAACGTGACTTGATGTGCTCCACGACAGGCCGTTTTGGGCGGTGATATTGGCACAGACCAAATTGCCGATCCCTTCGCTGCCGTGGAAGAGGCCGAGGAGCCGGCCGAGGGCGAAGTTTTTGAAATTATGCAGCTTGAGCGCCGACGGCTCAAGCATCAGCAAGGCTTGGGTGCGGGTCAATTCGGCATGGTGAGTCAGTGCCTTCGACTGGCTCCTCCCGACGAGGGCTGCACCTCATCTCTGAAGGTTCGCGCGTTGTTGGTGTTGAATCTCAGGTCTATCTGGCTGAGCTGTCCGATGACACCAAAGGCCCTCATCCCGTCGCCGTCAAAATCTGCCGCGTGGACAACAAGCACGAAGATGAGGTTGGCGCAAACCTCGAGTGACTGTACCCCTCTCTCGTAGGCTCATCATTTCTTTCCTGCTTTCCTGGCCCACGCAGCTCGAGTTTGCACGTGAGGCCGTCGTCATGCAAGCACTTCAGCATCCCCACGTGGTATGAACATCGGCCGTCGTCGCATCGTCAGGGCGGCTATGGCCCCCACCCAACTCTTGATATCTCACCTTGCAACTGTCAACTCTGCCCGTGTTCAACGCCACCCCTTGTGAGCCCCAGGTTGAGTTGGTTGGCGTGTGTATGGAGCGAAAGCCGTGGATGTTGGTTCTAGAGTACATGGCCTACGGTAACCTCAAGAGCTTGCTCGAGGTAAGCCAGACAAGGGTAGCTGCAGCCAAAGTGCTTCCTGGACCCTCGCTCATCATCCGTGTCTTCGCAGTCATGCTTGGAACGCAAGCTTCAGCTGACTAGCTTAGAAATGATTTACATGTGTCGACAGCTGGCTGATGCTTTGAGTTACATCCATCAAAAGGTCTGTCAAGCCTTGTACCTCACCCAGGGGGCTGTGGAGTCAGGGCAATGGGGCCCCAATGGTGGCTGCTTGCCTTCTTTGTGCAATTTTTCACCGACTCGATGTTCTCTGACGGCCGCGGCGCACTGTTGTAGGGATTCGTTCACATGGATGTTGCCGGTACGCGTCCAATCCCCAGAGCCTCTTACAAAGCGACCCTTTCCTTTCACCTCTTTTTCTGACTCGTCTTCTGATTGCTGCTCAATGTTTTCAACCGCCCATGCAGCACGGAATGTCCTCTGCGGTCCCAACTGCCTGATCAAGCTGGCCGACTTTGGTCAGAGCCAACAAAAGGATGAAGAGGGCCGCTTTGTGCTGCGCAAAGTCATGCGATTGAGCGTGCGCTGGATGGCACCTGAAACCCTGGCTGGCTTGCGCAAGGTCTTCAGTGAGCGCACTGATGTCTGGGTATGTAAGCGCCGTCGCATCATGGCTTTTGGCTCCTTTGTCACCCACTCTCACCGACCACGTTGCACCCAAACATTGGCTAGGGTTACGCCGTGACCTGCTGGGAGGTTTTTATGTATGGGCGCACGCCGTTTACGCGCCTCAAAACTGAGGCTGCACGAGACATGATCATGCGGGGCCGGGCACGGCTCACCTCGCGGCCCCCAACCACGTGTCCCAAGGACATGTGGGCCGTTCTATGCACGTGCTGGGACTACGAGCCCGGCAAGCGACCCTTGTTTGCTGGTACGTGCAAGTCTTGGCCGTTCCATCACACTACTCTTGCTTCTTCAGCTCATCGGTGCCTGCGTGCAGAGCTATCGGATGCACTACACGATCTGGAGGATAAGAGGCGGGGTGAACCGGCTCCTCGTGATATCGGTGCTATGCTCAAGCAATAACACGGAACTGGCTTTCAACACTTTATTGTATGCTGAAGGGCTCCGTTTTCATCCAAGTGGGCCCTTCGAACGCTCTTTGGTTGCATCTGTGCGGCACATGCTCGCGCAAAACAGAATTTATGCTTACAATTGCGTTTCTTGTGGAGTTGGTCGCGAAACTGGCAACAGGCCAGCAGAGGAACAAGTTTGGGACTCGTGATGTACAAAACCAACTCGTGTTGGCCGTGTGGTTTGGCACACAAGGCGCAAGACCATAACACCTGCTACATCCACAAAAACAAGCACCCTGACATGCAAACACAGAGACGCACGCCTTTGGGGCTCGAGCCCATCGCTCCTAGGGCGAGTGGAACGCGTAGAACATAAAGGGGGGGCTGGCGTTTTACTCGGGGTAGTCACCGCGTGCTGTGACCCCCATACTAAATAATGGATTGCTCTTCCACCGAGTACGTGTGGCCGTCATTTCGATGGACACGCTTCAGGTATGCCTCTGGTGGAGCAGCAAGCCTTTCTGTCGCTTTTCGGGGCGGCGGGACAAAGCTGAGCACCCGAGCTTCCTCCGGGATGGAATCAACATACATGGGCGCTAAGAGCTGAGATCCCTCTGGATCCGCTTGATCGTGCCCTTGAGAGATGTTGTCCATATGCAAAGCTGGCAGGTATGAGGGCTCTGCCACATGCAAGGGCTCGCTGACTGTTTCACATGGCCCAGGTTCATGCATCAAGTCAGTGTCCTGATGCCACGGCGTGTTCCACTCGTCGCTTGGTTGCACCGGCTGAGCGGCAGACTGGGCATCGTACAGAGCCATGCTGTCTGGATAGCGCTGCACTCGACGATAGCGGACAGGGGTGTGGGCATGGGGAAGAACATGAAGACTTGGGGCGTAGTTGGCTTGATCTTGAGGGTTGTACATTTCATCTGGATACCGTCGGTGCGCCGGCAAAACCTGAGCATCGACAGGTGGAGGTGCATAGGCGTGCTCTGCCGCGTAGCGGAATGGTGTTTGAATAGTCTGAGTCAAGTGTGATTGAGGAGGGATTGGTGCCGGTCCTGGGACGTATCCCGTCTGTTGATGCCAACTGTTCAGGCTCAGCGAAGAATTCTAAGAATGTCGAGTCGATGTTCACAAAGCCCTTGAGCACAACTTGCAGGGTTTCCATCACGAGGCAGAATCAAGATCAAGATCAAGTCAGAAAGGTGGGGTCATACCGTCAAGGAGGGAGTGACGGAGTAAAGAGATGAGCGTTCGCCTTGCTGATGTGATTCCCAATGAGATGCGTGGCCGGGGCTACCCGCAAGGGATCCATAGACGCTGCCATGATCTGACGAAACATAAGTCTGCATCGACCCTCCGAGGGGAGCTTGGTAGGGTTGAGCCATGCCGTACAATTCGACGGGTGGTTGGATGAACTCGTGGCTAGCATGCCGGCGATGAGGTGTCGAATAGATGGCATGTTGACCTGGCAGCGTACACCGGCACAGCGGGTGAGTGAGTGGTCATGCAAGAATGGCAGATGCAGCGGGAGGGCAAAGCGGTAAGGGAGTATGACGACACGCTCACCTTGAAGCATGAAGGCTTCGCTGCTTGGTTCAAATTCCAGCTCTGGTGCGTCTAGGTCTGAGATGACAAAAGGTGGATGTTCAGCAGGCTTTGCGCAGCCTGAACCTTGGTGGCATGGGCGGTAGATGGGGAAGGAGTGAAGGAGCATGTTCGGCAAATGTACACAGAACAAAATTGTGGACAAAGAAAGGCTGGTGGCAAGGCGAGCCAACAGGCGCGAAAGAAGAGGGCTCGCCATACCTTGGGCTGGATCGATAGTTTCATAGATGTGCGTATGGCCGTGAGCCGCTCGGCTTTTGGCTCGAGCGGTGGCTGTTGAACTAGTGTATGCATTTGAGGCCACAGGATGCTGGCGTTGCTTTTTTAGGCAGGCCAAGCAACCCAGAAAGCAGAGGAGCAGGGCGCCAAGAGCAAAGAGCACCACCAAGCCGGCAAAGAGCCAGATCAAGCCGCGTTGCGGGCGATTGCTTGGCCTGGCTGTAGTGGAGGCAAAGCCGGCAGTGACGACGCCCGCTGTGGACGCCAGAAAGGCTGTGTCGGTGGTGTCGCCGTCGGCTGTTGCTTGCACACTGCTCGTACCTTCCGTCACGATTGCGGAGGTGGCTTGGGGTGGTAGAGGGCCACCCGCACCGGTGGAATCCATACTCGAAGTGAGGTGAACAGGGGTAGAGGTGATTGATGCTGTATCCAAAGGGGGCGATGCTGTGTTGGTTGTGGCAAAGCCCTCGGAATCCGAGGGCGAGCCTGGGTCGGCCGAGCTTGGGTCGGCCGAGCTGGTCGATGCTTGATCATTTTCCGCATTGCCAATTGGTCCATACTGCCACGTCGCGTTGGTGGAAGGCGCGGTGATCAAAGCTGGTGTTTCGGCCGTCGTAGCCTTGGCCATAGCTATATCACGAGCGTGGGTGAGACCGGCAAGAACGACGTTGCAAGACCCTCAACGAACAAGGCAGGCAGCACGTACAGCCGACATTGCTCAGCACTGCCAGAATCGCAATCAGCACGAATGAGACGCAGCGAGAGTCAGCGCTCCGGGCGCAATTCAAACACAGGCGCATGCACAAGGCCATGGCTGAGCCGCCAGCCTCTTGGCCATGGGCAGGCTGCAGGATATTTGTGCTGGGGGGGCAGCGTCTGCCGAGGCCCAGTTTCAGGACATCCAAACACGGGAGGGAGGTGAGGTCAAGGGTGAGCGACGGCTGAGGCAGGACGGACAATGTTAAACGCCTCACCAAGTGCATCGGGTGCCATCGAGCATCTAGCATTTGGCAGCAAGACAGACATCACGCATGCATGCCATTGGCTGGTGGAGAGATGGTTGCGGTGCAACCCCGGCACTCCAACGGCATGCTGGGACATGCAGCGGGGGAGAGCTTTCTTATTTGGGACGCAAATCTCAACCATGACCATGCCCAGATGAACATGTTCCTCTTCCCCCTCCCATCCTCTCTCCTATGGATGTTGGCTGCCGCTTGATGCCTTCTTCCCCGCCCCCGCCGTCGACCCGCTCCCGTCACCAGCGCACCTTTCTGCATTCACGCAGGCAGCGAATCCACAGATAAGGGACACAATGTCATCATATCAGATGAGCTCAGAATGTCAGATAAATATCTGATGTCAGACGAAATCGTTGAGCCAAAGTGTGATAACAACAGTCTTTCTTGTCATTTTTTTTTTGACCAGGTGTGTGTGTGTGTGTGTGTGCGTGGAGCAGGTGGTGGCTGCGGACGCCTGATCATGAGCACTGGGTCGAGTCAAGGCGAAGGGGAGAATGGGTCTGCCTCCTGCCTCCTACCTCATGCCTCATGCTCACGCATCTGGATCGGCTATGTTGGCTTCAGGATTGGAGCTGAGATTGGCGCTGGTGGATACGACGAGAACCAGAGGCTTGCTGAGGGCAAGCTTACCAGCAGCACCATGTCGCCTCTTCGCATGTAAGGGCTGGCATGGCTTGTTGTTGCACTCGCCTAATCAATGGTTCTCTCAGGCCTCACCACCATTGCTGATGCACGACCCTGCCTGGCCCACAACCGGCACAGCCTTGCCGTTGGCGATGTGGACGGGAAGATTGAGACGCTGTTGAAGAAAGTCAATGCCGTCACGAAAAAATCAGGCGCTTTCGACGTACGCTACTAGCCCAGCATCGCAGACAATTGTCATTTGCAATCTGACTCGAACGAACTGACCCGTCCCAACTCTTTGCATAACCCCACCGGCCAGGCCATGTTTTGCACTGGAAGCTTCTTTGCCGCAGATGGCTCGGCCGATGAGACCTGGCAGCGTTGTGTTTCTGGCGTGACTACTTGTTCGTGGCCCGCTTTTTATGTTTGCTCAGGTGTAGCATCTGATCCCGAACCTCATAGTCGTGGCCGTTGCGCGCGCAGTTCCTGTGCCAACCTATATCCTGGGACCCATCACGGAAGCACAAGCGCCCCGCTTTAAGGTTGTATTTGATCAGCTCTTGCAGCGCTCTTGCGTGATTCTGAAATATCTGGATCCCACGCCCCAAGTTCAACCATGTGCTCTGAACTTCAAAATGCAATCTCGAGTTGGTCCCTGATCCAAGCACTCACACACCCTGATCCACTGCGTCCTCTATACAGGGCAAAGAACATGGCGGTGATTTGTGTCCCAATGTTACCTATCTCGGTATGGTCGCTCAAGGATAGGCTGCGTCTTCACCTGCTCCCATTACGGCCCCAGCAGCCCATTCGCCTCGGAGCCTCCAATAATGTGACCTGTTATTTTATTTTAATTTTTTTTTTTTTTTAATTTTTGTCCTTCTATGCACAGGCGATAGCTCCATCACGACCATTGCTGGTGGACTTAAAGTGGCTTCGCTGAGTGGTGTGTTTGAGAAGATGGCCTATCATCACAAAGAGCGACAGCATCCTTTCCTATACTGCCAGGTCTGAGCCCACCTCCTGACCAAAAGCTGCCCTGGATCCATCTATACTTGTTGCTCTTCTCGGGAACTGATAAAAGCCACTTGTCAAACGTAGGGTGACGTCAAACGCCTGGTGGACATGAGTGCCAAGCCTGGTTTTCATGGAGTCGACATTCTCCTGACCTCCCGCTGGCCCAACGACATTGCGCACAACAACCAAGGCCCTGTGGTATGTGTAGTCTCTCGGACTTCTCTACCGCATACCCCGACCTCTCGGTTGAACGCATTGTTATTGTGCGCCTCCTATCCTCATTGCATCTCTTTTAGCCCGATCTCAATTGGCTACGCCAATGCCCTGGCTCACAAGCCGTTGCCAAGGCACTTCGCCCGCGCTATCACTTTGCAGGTGGAGCTGGTTAGTCTTGGTCGCGGGAAACTTGGTCGCGGGAAAAAATGGCTCAGTGTTTCAAAGTTGCTTGATCACATACCAAAGGAGCCTGCCCTTTTTGGCTCTTTCCCCCCTCCTGTTCTCTCTGTCGTTGTTCTTTGCCTACCTTATGTGTGCAAATATTGGCCTTTGGCTCTGAGAAGTGGATGCCGGGAACAGGGCTTGGGCATTGGGGCTCATGCTTGTATGTGTTTCTGCATGGGAATGACGGTGACAGTCTTTTTCGAGCGCAGCCCTTATCGAAACCATGGGGCCCAGGAGGCCCCAGTCAACGTGACTCGCTTCCTTGGCATGGCCCCCGTGGGCAACCCTGTCAAGGCCAAGGTGCTTTCCGTTTTCCCTTCTTCTCCCTGCTTCGCACACGCGTTTGCATGCTTTACTCACTACCACGTGCCCAACTCCGTTGTGTGTCAATGTTCGCGTCGCAGTGGATTTATGCATGTAGCATCGTGCCTCGGTCTGAGGAAGATGTTGCCAAGCTTGTCGAGCAGCCACAGGGAACCACTGATTCGCCTTTTGCAGGTAACTCCTCTTTCCATTTCCGGTGGCCTACATCATTGACAGTGCAGTGCTGATGGCGTTGTGGTGCGTTGGGTGGTCTTCAGCTCGGCATCGCGCGGAGCCAACAGGCTTCTTCTGGGCTGGTGGCAAACGACAGCATGGTGGGTGATCATGACATCTTGCATTGTGCAAAATCATTTTTAAATCTCTTGCGCCAAGCGTACATATGACTTGCACCGCCTGGTGTGGGTTATATGATAGGTGGTCGTGGTGGGCCCAAGGGCAAAAAGCGTCGTAAGTATCCTGCAAAGCACTTTATCATTGACCTGGCTGCTTCATAAAGCTACTCTTTTCTTTGTTCAATGCTGGCCATGTCATCATGACATGATTGCCCCAAGCACTCCCTTATCGAAGCATGCTGAACATTTTTTGACCCTGTGTTGTGTTGCTCGTGGCTTAGCACCGGTGACGCAGGAAAACTGCTGGTTTTGCCTGGGCAGCCCGAAAGTGGAAAAGCACTTGGTTGCATCCGTGAGCAAGGATGTGCGTGGTGGCGCAACTCGGTTGCTTCGCTTGTAATGCAATGGCTGTTCTGTCGGGCATGACTGACTTGACTCCTCATTCTGCGTAATCCAGGTATATCTGGCTCTGCCCAAGGGGCAGTTGTGCGAGGACCACGTCTTGATCGTACCTGTCAAGCATTGCCAATCCACTTTGCACCTCGACGACGTAGGCGCTATACTTCTAGCCTTGGCCTGTTTAACGGCGGTCGCGCCAGAGTACCTGACCTGGTGTGGGCTCTGTAGGACATTGCAACGGGCGTCAATGAGTACAAGAAGGCCCTCCGGAAGTTTTTTGCAGCCACTGACCGGGACGTGGTTTTCTTTGAGCGTAACTTCCGCTCCGATCACATGCAACTGCAGGTACGTCGCTCAAATCGATCCGCAACCCCTCTGACGGGCTGGGCTTCCGCCAGTGTCATACTTTGACTGGGCGCAAAACGACATGAAATGATAGGCCGTACCAGTGCCTCGTGGTCTGAGTGACTCCATTGAGCTAGCAGCACGGAGCTTAGCAAGCCGATACCAACTCCAGCTGGACACGCAGCCTGCCGGCACGGATTTGAACGAGGTGGGTCTCAATGTCTGATTTGGGGATGCGTTGACCCCGAGCTTGCCCCTTCCCTCCTCAGTCTTATTCTTTCTTTGTTTTTGTTTTTTTTTTCACATTTTTTTTCCCTTCCGATTTGCACCAAACTGCAGTTGTTTGAGGAAACGACGCCCTACTTTATGCTCGAGCTGCCCTCGGGCCAGCTGCTGATTCATGGCATCAGCGGTCGCTTTCCGCTGCAGTACGGACGGGAGATTCTGGCGCATGCACAGGTTCTCAACTGCCCAGATAAGATTGACTGGAAGGCGTGCTCACTGGACAAAGAGGGCGAAACTGCCGCAACAAAAGCCTTCCGTGAAGCCTTTCGCCCCCACGATCCGTTTTTGAAGAAAAAGGCCGTGGCTGAATAAGCGTGAGTCGCGCCGGAAGCTGTGGCCATTCAATGCATTTAAAAGCACTGCTCCCGACGCTTTTTACCGGCATGGTGCATCTTTGTGCTTCACCCGACATTCATGCCAACAAGTTGAAAGCCCACATGTTGTTTGAATTGATTCCTTGCCAACAACCAGTCGGTCAGCAGTCACAACATCATGTCGCTCATATAATAAAGCATAATTCGCTGATTCTCGATTAAAACACACACGCACACACACACACACACGCACGCCTGCGCGCGCGCGCTCTCTCACTCTCCCACTCTTTCAAAAGAGACAATTGGCGGTACGAGAGGGAGGAATAAAAAACGCTTGCTTGACGTGATTGCATTGGAAGAACATGCAGGCGTATCCAGCGCGCAGAGAATCGAACCCTCCCGGTCCTGATCTTATGCGCAGCTGCTACAATGCTATGATCTGGCATTCTGTGCATCGCGACAAGCCCCCAGCTGTTCTGCAGACAAACCAACGGCATAGCGAAACAGCTCAAGGTCGAGCGCATTCAGCTCTTCCAATTTGGCTCGCCATTCGTCGTCGAGGTTCTCCTCGGCCCATGCACTTGAGCTACCATGACTATCGCGCAGGTGGGTTCCCTCAGCCTGCTGGGCTCTTTCATCCCAATCATAGTAGCAAGCGAGCATCTCTTCATGCCACTCGGCGTGCTCGAGAATGAAGATGACAAACTGATCCAGGACCCGCTTGGCAGCCTCGAGATGTGCACGCGTGATTGTGCCCAAGGGGGCCTCGTACACGACCGACCCGAGGAGACTGCGAATGTAGTAGTTGTTGACGGTGGCTGAGCCGTAGCGGGTATCGCTGTTTGGTCGGGGGCTGAACGTCTCTGCCCGTGCCTTCGCAGTGTTGTCCGAGCGCAGGCGAGTCTCATAGCTGATGTGAGAAATGATGCGCCTGATGGGGTGGCGCATTTGCATACCAATGAGGAGGCGGTCGGGGCATTCCAGCATGCGCTGGTTGAAGACGTTCTCGGTCTGAAAGTATGTCACGTTTCCCATGGCAGCCAACCGACCATCGCAATCAAAGTTTTCGTTGTACTTGCCACCGATCGCGTGTGAACCTTGCGGGTTATCACCTTGGCCATTACAGTTGCTTCGCGGGAAACCGTCGGGGACTGTCTCGTTGTTGGCAACGGCGTCGGCGCAAAACGAGGTGCCGCCGCACTTGTGGATGTGAAAATGGTAGATGGTGCGGTTGTTGCGATCAAAGGGCTTCGGGAGAGCTGTGACGACACCGGCCGTCACGGCCAGCATCAGCAGCAGGCCCGCCGGACGCGGAACACCTTGCGCCATGTTGAATATTCAAGCTAAAATGAACGAGGTGGTGATCACTCCCTTTTGGCCCTCAATGGCGCTTGACGAGAGGGGGTATGTTACTTGGAGACAGAGCCTTCAGTCTGGACGTTGGACGTTGGACGTTGGGGATGGTGGTGCAAGCAAGCAAGCAAAGTCAACCTGACCAATAGGGTTATACATCTCCAAAGTAAATGTTTTACTCTCTAACATGAATAAGTATTCTTGTTACCCTTCTTTCTTCTCGCTCTCTCTCTCTCTCTCTCTCTCTGTCTACAAACCTCACATCGCCTCACCAAAATGGCTGCTGGCGTCGAAACGAGCTACACGGCGCTGCCCGTCGCGCATCTAGGGGCGGGGGAAAGCATGCCAAGCATGTCTGTCGCAGTGCGGCTTTATGCGCGAGCTCGAGACAGCGCTTCTCCTGAGACGATCATCAACTGCTGGCTCATTGTAGCATCTGTATGCGTGAATCAATTACACTCGAAAATAACAGCACCTTCCCATGATCTTGAGAGGAGAATGGGGAGGCTTCGCCCTGCTTCTGGGTCACAACATTCCAAAGGAAGAAGACAGGAAGGTTTGCAGAGACAGAGTCACAAGTCGCATCCAACACTCCTGGTCCTGGTCCTGGTTCCATGCGCAGCTGCTACAATATCACCTGGCGTTCTTCGCATCACGACAAGCCCCCAGCTGTTGTGCAGACAACCCGCCGGCGTAGCGAAACAGCTCAAGGTCGAGCGCATTCAGCTCTTCCAATTTGGCTCGCCATTCGTCGTCAATGTTCTCCTCGGCCCACGCACTCGATTTGCCATGGCTGTTGAGCATGTGGGTTCCCCCACCGTCAGCTACGGCCTTCGCATGCCAACCATAGTAGCAAGCAAGCATCTCTTCGCGCCACTCGGCGTGCTCGAGAATGAAGATGACAAACTGATCCAGGACCCGCTTGGCAGCCTCGAGATGTGCACGCGTGATTTTGCCCAAGGGGGCCCCGTACACGGCCGACCCGAGGAGACTGCGAATGTAGTAGTTGTTGACGGTGGCTGAGCCGTAGCGGGTATCGCTGCTTGGTCGGGGGCTGAACGTCTCTGCCCGTGCTTTCGCGGCAGTGGTAGAGTGCACTCGAATCTCAAAGCTAATGTGCGAAATGATGCGCTTAATGGGGTGGCGCATTTGTATACCAATGAGGAGGCGGTCGGGGCATTCCAGCATGCGCTGGTTGAAGACGTTCTCGGTCTGAAAGTATGTCACGTTTCCCATGGCAGCCAACCGACCATCGCAATCAAAGTTTTCGTTGTACTTGCCACCGAGCGGGCGTAAGCTAGCAGGTTCATCACCACGCCAGTTGCAGTTGGTGTGCCGATAATCGGCAGGGACCGTCTCGTTGTTGGCAACGGCGTCGCGGCAAAAAGAGGTGCCGCCGCACTTGTGGATGTGAAAATGGTAGATGGTGCGGTTGTTGCGAGCAAAGGGTTTATGAAGAGCTGTGACGGTACCGACCAGCATCAGCAGCAGGCCCGCCAGACGCGAAACACTCGTCATGGCGAACATCCAAGTGGGGTTCCACGACTGTTAAGAGACAGAAATGAACTTGGCCAACTGTGTTGAGGGTCAAAAGTGAACTGGGCTAGGGTCAGGTTTAGGGTTGGCAGGCCAGAGTCGACCGTCTGAGTGTGGTGCTGCAGATGGGAGGAGAGCCACGTGATGATGTCCCTTTTCGATTCAAGCCGCATAAAAATAAAAAATAAAAATGGATGGATCACCGAATATTTCGATGAAGGAGATGGAAAATTTTGGCGGCCTCGTCAAAGGGTTGAGCTTCAGAACAATACCACATGTAGTTTAATTTTATTGTGAGGAAGAGGGGATGGGAACTCGAGTTTCTCGGCAACTTCATGGTGGCTTGTGCTCTGTCTCTCTAGGGGAGAGAGTCTGCCACCTCAATTCAGTGTACATCGGATATTATGGTGACGGACTTGAAGAAAGGCTACGGTTGGCAATTGGGCGCGTGGCTGGACTGCTCACCACCACGAGCCTTGTGCCAGGGACCCGGAAACGGAGGGCCTCAAAACAACGACCACGGTCATAAATACCTTTACAAGTTCAAAACAACTCTGCTCGACTCTAACGAGTGCAGGCTGCCATTCGAATCAAAAATTAAGGGGAATGGTTTCCCTCGGTGGCTCTCGAACAACCAAAGCGTCCCCTGGGGCTTGCTTGTTCGATATCAGACCGAGGCCTTTGAACCAGCCCCTTCAACTTTCTGGGGAGGCGTCGCCCTTGAGATGGCGATGGCAAGCTAGATACTGCTGCAGAGCGAGCTTATTTGCGTAGGCATACAGCTCACTATCCAGGGCATTAAGTTTTTTGAGCTGTTCACGCCACTCTTCATCAATGCTCTCCTCAGCAAAGCGGGTTGACTTGCCACGGCTGTTTCGCATATTGGCACTCTCTGTGTCCTTCCAACCGTAGTAACAAGTGCGCATCTCGGCCTGCCACTCGGGACGCTCCAGAATGAAGACGACCATCTGATCCAGCACGCGCTTGGCTGCTTCGAGATGGTCTCGGGTGATGTTGCCCAGCGGAAGTAGGAAGACCTTTGAGCCCAAGAGAGAGCGAATGGCATAGTTGTCCACCACGGCCGATCCGTAGCGCGTGTCCCTGTTGATGTTGGACACGTAGCTATCGGCGCGGGCAGTGGTGAGGTAGTCAGGGCCAGATTCTAGGGCCGAGGCCGCGCGCTTTGGGTCTGCTTGGCGTTGCTTTTGAAGACGCTCCTGCCTCTCGAGATATTCCTTTTGTTCGAAGCGGATGTGCGAGTAGATGCGCTTGAGAGGGTCGCGGAGCTGAAGACCAAGAAGCATACGATCCGAACACTTTAGCATTTCTTGATTCAACACGGTCTCCGACTGGAAGTAGGTGTAGGTACGCATGTCACGTAGGCGGGTGTCGCAAGTGTACTTCTCGTTGTATTCGCCGGCCGCACCAAAGCGGCGGCCCGGTTCGTCACCAGGAAGGTTGCAGTTTTTGTTACGGTAGTCTGGAGGCACGCGCTCTCGGTTTCGCGCTGCATCCCAGCAAAACGATGTGCCGCCACATTTGTGGAGGTGAAAGTGGTAGACGAGTCGACCTTTTCGACCGCCGGGCACAGGTCCAACAGCATGCAGTGCAGGCAGAACGATCAGCAGCAGCGCAAGAGCAATGCGCTGCACAGCGACGCCCCCCACAATCATTTTCCTACCAGCGAGCAAACCTCAACAAGGAAACAAAACCCCCGGCCCAAGCCCAAGCCCCTGCCCCCTTCCCCGGCGCCCCCTCCCAAAAAAAAAACCAAAAACACACACACACACACAGGGCCTTTGGGCATTCACCAAGGCGAGGGGCTCGAGAGAGAGAGAGAGATGAAGGAAAAAAATAATACTTGTATGAAGAGAGAGAGAGAGAGAGAGAGAGAGAGAGAGAGAGACAGACAGACAGACAGACAGAGAGAGAGAGAGAGAGAGAGAGATGAGAGAGAGAGAGAGAGAGAGAGTGTGTGTGTAACGTCATCCATGATCGACACACAGGACAGTGCTTTTGGTTGGCAAGAAGAGATCAATTTAGCTCGCCCCCTCCAATGTAAAATACGAGCTTTGCATTGTCAGATTTGTCCTCGAATTTGCTTGTGTGCATCCTTTGATTGGTTGCTGATGTCGAATGAGGGAGATCGGGGGGAGGGGGAGGGGGTTGTGATGGCGGCGATGATCTGCCGGGTGGGGGAACTGAGGGGTGGTTGATGGATGGGGCGAGGAGAGAAAGCAGATTTTGCTCTTGCTCTTGCTTGACGGAACCCTCGAGTGGCTGAGCAGTCTGTTGATTGGTGCTCCTCGACGGAGAAATGAGGACTCGAGGGCCAGTACAATCAAGACACAATGTCATTCCTTGGGTGAGCGCCAGCGACGTACGCCGCGCTGTCATAAAAGGGTTGGCGGATTGTGCCGTCGCTCCTTGGGCTTGCGCCTTCCTGCAGTGCATAGTTTCTACGTAGTCGCCTCCGACTCAACATATCAATCGCAATTGTGCGCTGCATCTTGCTGCGCCCTGCTCAGCCCTGCCCGAGCTGAGGGTTTACGCGCTCACACACCACAGACACACACACATCACTGGCACACACTCACGCATCACTGGCACCACCCGCGCCATTCCGCTTTCAACCCAATTGGCTGACTGTGGTACCGACGCTCTCTGAACTAGGTCTCACAACGATAGTGCCTCTCGGACGTCCGGCACGAGCTGGCGCAGACCATGCTTGCCGCATGCAAACCCTTGGTCTTCGTTCCCTTTTGAGAGAAGCTTGGCAGAGACGCCTTGCCCAACGCGACACCAACAACCCCGTCTCTTCGGTTGGTGCTCAACACCAAACGTTGATTAATCATTGTTCTCGCAAGTGTAGCCACTGCCTGCCAACGTCCAGGCGCTTCACGTCCACAGAATTACTGCCGCCAGTTGAAAGAGGAGTTGCCCGGGCGCCTGGGATAGCATCAATATTTAGTTTTCGGGCTGTGGCTCCTCGATGGGACCATGGCTGACCACTGGCAGCTTTCTCGAGACTTTCAAGCTTTCAGAACAGACCGCCTCGAACGTCTGTTGGCCCCCCTCTTGCCCAACTATCATCATGGCACCAAGCACGGCAAGGCAGGTACCCCAGCTCCTCTCCATCTCCCAGCCTCCCGTACCATGGTCAGCATGGATAATAAAATCCAGCCGGTTCGTTCAAATTCTCATCCTCAATCATTCTATCGCTGGCGTGCTTCGGCTCGCAGAGGCGAATCAAGCCCGACTCTAGCTGGCTCAATCGCCAGGATATCTATGGAGACACCATTCTAATGATGGCTGTGCAGGCCCGCTGTGATGCAGCTGTTCAGTACGTCGGTTCCCCTTGGTTTGCCTTCAACTGCATTTTGTCGTGCTTGCACACTATGCGCATCAACTTGAGCCCCACCCCCTCTCAAAGCCAAGTTGCGGTACTTTGGTATGAATGGCAGGTTGTTGGTACGCGCACATGCCGATCCGAGCATCGTCAACAATCAGAATCGCAATGTGCTACATCTTGCGGCCCTGCAAGCGGGCGTATGTCCCACCTGGAGACCCTGCAAACTATTCCAAGACCGTATGCACGCCATGTCTACATGGCACTTCCTCACGGCCTTTTCACGGCACCTCACGCCCTGTAGTTATCGGCAAGCATTGCAACCTCTCTGACAAAGCATGCGGAAGCTTTTCTTGACCACAAAGATGCGAATGGGGACACTCCGTTGATGCTGGCCATTCGCACCGCCTCTACCTCCATGGTTCGCTCGTCAGGGTGGGGACAAAAGTATCTGCGGGCGTCTTTTTTTTTTTTTTTTTTTTTTTTTTTCCTTTGCGAGTTTCGCCCGTCCCTTCGTTCTTCTGCTGTGGCTTACGACAGTGTTTGCCGATGTGTCACTTGATGACTTTCGGTGCTGCAGGTGAATGCACTATTGGAGCGCAAAGCAGATATCAATGCACAGAACGACCGTCTCGAAACTGCAACCATGCTGGCTGCACGGTGTGTACGCTCTTTGTGTGCCTTGTTCTTCGTTTCCACTCAATCAGCTAGAATTGCAGGCATCATGTCGGCCGTGGCCTCAACTTTTCCATAGTCCCCTCACTGCCAAATCGCGGGTGCTTCCGGCATTTAGAGCAAATGCCCACGAGTATCTCAAGCTGCTTGTTGGCAAACGGGCCAACCAGATCAATGCTGCGGACTGAGAAGGTTCTAAAGCTCGCTGACTGGGAAAGTGTAGGGGTGTGGAGCTATGTGAGCTTGCCACTAGCCTCTGTGGCTGATCGTTGGCGTCCCCATGTGCTGTAGGTCGAACCGCGCTCCATTGGGCAGCTTTATCAAACGCCGCGACTAGCATTGAGGTGCTGCTCTCTTGTATGTATAGGACCTTCCTTCTGGGCGTGGAACGCGTGCTGTTCACCCACGCTTGCCTCGCTGGTCTTTTACTTATGCGCTTCTGTTACTATCCAACTTCACAATCTCAGCACCAAAGTGTACAGTTTTCAAGCTGACGCACGAAGCAGAGACGCCACTTCATTTCATGGCTCGCGAGGGCAATGAAGCTGCATTTAGGTTTGATGGCACAAACTTCATCACAACTTTGCGACAGGTGGGCGTCTGGCTCATGTCGGCTTGGTGTCCCCTTTAGGGCCTGCTTGGCTGTCCGAGGGTCCCAGCAGTTGCGAGCTAGCCTCAGGCATCTCTCCAACTTTGGGTGCGTTGCTCTCCTGCTTCGTTGGTGTCAGCGGCAAATCTGTTATCCTGCCGTGGTGCATGACAATCATTCTATGAGCCAGGTAATCTTATGGCGCCTTTCATCCTCTTTGTCTTTGCCTCTTGGGCACAGGGTGACGCCTCAGGAGTTGGCTCAAGCTCGTGGTTTCTCATCGTTGGCGGCTCTGATGACTCGTGCCAACACTTCGCAAATAGCCCCAATGGCTAGCAGTCATGTATGTCTCAAAGCGCCCCTTGGCTACTTGCTGTGTTTGCTATGTTTGCCATGAGCCTTCACATACAACCAAATGGTCGCCGTGCGTTTGTCTCATCGAATTGCTGTGCCGTGTAGCAATCGTGCGAGGCTTCAAACTTGCACCTCAGCCCTGTGCTTTTGCGGTCCCGAACTGGAAGCACCACGTCGAGCGGAGGTAAAGCTTTACGAACCGGAGCCCTTGTACCAACACAGCCGGCAAGAGATACCACTCCAGCACCCTCTTCGTGGGCTAGAGCTGCTAGCATCGAAGTGCCCTGCTCATCTCGACCCTTGAAGCCCTTTGTGGGCAGTCCTGATTTGGCGGATTTTCCCCCTTGTGCACAGTTGCACCAGCTGTCGGAGTTGAGCGTTGATGCTATTGTGCCCGGCGTTGGGGATACGAGGGTTTTTGATGCTCGCCAACGCGCCCTCCATTCGTACTCCCCTAAGCTATCTTGCCCATCGAGCCAGATCAAATTTGGCCAAGGAAGCGAAGAACGAACACCCGCGTCTCCACACTCTGTCCGGGTATGTGACGATAACTGTTGGGTCGCAATGCCAGGCCAGTGAGTACTTGGACGGTGTTTTCCATATGGAACAGCGCGAGGCTTCTATGCTGACAGCCAACGTTTGTTTTTTAAAACTTTGTCACGGGAAATAAAAAACTGTAATTTTACATGTTAATGAATTATCGTAGGCCTTATTTCCCGACGCAACATCACCGGTGCCTTCCTGCCCGTCTTTGTCCAGCAGTATTGACAACGACTTGCTTCGGTGCAACTGAGCAACTGCTGCATGTGGGGTGTTAAATAATTGGATGGCGATCAGCCTTGGGTGGTTCGTGTTGTGCCAATCTGGCAAATCAAACGCCACAATGGCCGTATGCAGAGATACATGCAGTTGATACTTGATGCGTCTGTGAGCCACACACTCACTGCTTTTACACACATCCAGCTTCGTCTGCGTCCATCAAATCTCCTCCCAGCGCCTTGGCCATGTCAAACGCAAAAGTGCAGCACACCCGCGGAAGTCAACAGGTGTCACTTCCAGCTTTCGCACGGACATCATCCCCCCGCATCTCATGAAGGGGATCAAGTTTCACGGTTCTTCGAAGTCGGAGATATATCATGTATTCTATGTATATACTTGCTTGGAAAAGCACGGCAACTCAGGTATTCGATGGAGAAGACAACGGAGAAGATAAAGGTAAATCCGGAGGTCAGATGACCCCACTATATCTCCCACCCGTTACCTGATTGGCTGGATCAGAGGTGGCGTTTACGGTGTTGATACCACGATTGGGGGAGATGAGACTATGTGGTGCGTGAGATGCGCGTATGCATGCTCAGCGGTGGGATGTGGGTGAGCGCCGCAGACACAATTTGTAGCGGGAGCTAGTTGCAGCTCGAGCCCTGACACGTAAACAGTCGAGCAAGCACGTCATGCAGCTCTTGAAGCTGTGCCAGCGGAAAGCTGGACGCAATATTATGTAATTGGTACGGGTCCTGGCGCAGATCATACACCTCTACAAACTCTGGGGTGCCGGTAAAATTGTAGTCGACCGTAAGGTCGGTAAACTCAGCGTAGATGAGATCGACTGGCCCACCACCAAATTCAGTGGAACGGAACGAGGTTGAAAGCACATTGTGAGATCATGACAAAAGATAAGGCTGCAGCGAGTTTTGCGTGAGCAACTGCCTCTCCTCCTTTTTTGCGTGCCCACCCGTACCTGTGTCGTTGCGAACCCGCAACCCTCGAAAGGTGTTGTTGTAGGCATCCACCGTGTGGTTGTAGCGCACGACCGTACCAAGTCCATTGTATTCAATGAGTTGTTGCTCTCGTGGCGCGGGTGCACCAGAGCCTATTGTTTACACTCTGGTCAGCGAGGCTGCGACTGGGAATCCGGTGCGACCTGCCTTCGCTCACAAGCCTCACCAAATAAAGTACCATTCAAGGCGGCGGTGCGGTTGGTGACGAGCATGTCTACCACCGAACGCCCATCCATGCTGGCCGGTCTGCAAAACAAGACAGTATGGCCCAGCAGCGGGAGTGAGAATCTCGGTGCCGTGAGCTGGACACGACATTCCATTGTTGGTGACACGCTTGGTGAATTCTTCCTGAAAATACAAGAAAGCTCATACGTGGGCACGCCAGCCAGGCCAAGGATAGTCGGCATGACATCCACGTTAGAGGATAGGAAGGCGCGGGAGGCGTTGGCTGGGATGCCAGGTCCACGCGCCACAAACGGAATGCGCACGTCATTTTCATACAATCCCCATTTGCCCTGTCCCAATGAGCAAAGCAGGCTGAAATGAGGTGTTACAGAATGGCACTGCAGCAACAGCTACACGTATAGCCATAGTGCAACGAGCACGCTTGGTGGCGAACGAACCATGGGCATACGAAATTGTCCGAAACGATACCCGTGGTCCGAAGTATACAGAATGTATGTGCGATCGAGTTGATTGGTGGCGGCCAGAGTGTTCACGAGAGACTCCACAAGATCATCCACCGACAATAAGGAGCGCCATCGATCGCGATACAATTCGTCCATGTTCACCTCCTGTTGCACGCACACCAGCCCACTGAGACGGCCGATGGATTGCGCCGAGTACAGCGACGAGGCAAATGTCGTAGATTTTGTATCGCTCACCTCTTCGGCGGTCATGGGCGCTTGTGAAGCCACAAGCCAGTGGTGGTCGGGGGCGGAGACGTTGAAGTTTGGCGGTCTTGGTGCCGAGACTTGAGCAAAAGCATTGGCGTACCACGGTGCTGGAATGGGTTTGGGCCAGCCGGGACCATCTTGAATGTGGGGCGCCTGACAATTTACGAGTTACGCCATGGTGACCGGGGTGAGCCAAGGTAAACATGAATATGATGGTTGACTGGTGTCAAACTGAAAGTGGCTCAACCTTGGGAGCAATGTAGGCCATGAACGGCTGATTGGCGCGGGCCTTGCTCTCGATCCACTGCAGGGACACATTGCCAATCACACTAGTGCTACACCAGCACAGCATATCGGGTAAGGAGAGGGCTACCTGACTACACAGAGACGCGCTCGCTGCCAATCACATGCTATGAGCTTGGACATGTGTGTGTGTGTGTGTGTGTGTGTGTGTGTGTGTGTGTGTGTGTGGAGAGGACGGACACGAGGGTCTTTGACACGAGAAAAAGGGCATACCTGTAGTTGGCATAAGTTCCATTGTTGAATGTGATCGCACCCTGGTTGGTTGAGAAAGTGGGGTCGACATAGTCACCACCATCGTTGGCGAACCATTGTTCCACCCCTGGCGGCGGGCAATCTGGTACATCACTGTTCAAGTATTTGCCTGGTGCAAGAATGCAATGCGGTGAGAGTGTGTCTGTGGGTGTGATTTACTCGGCAAGTGAGGTGCGCTGCATTACACGTGCTGTGGGCGCACCAAATATGCCAACATGGTAGCCTTGGTTGCGTAGGTGAGGCGCAAACAACCAGCTGTTGAACGGTCCACTGCTTGCCGTGTTGGCATGCATACAGCTTGGGTCATTTCTAGACGGTTGCCAGAGCCCAGCGCCGCAAAAGGATGCAGCGTTTGTGAGGTGGTGGGTATCAGAAAGTTGACAAGCCGTGACAAGGTCGGGGTAGCCGGGAGCAGGTTAATGGGCAAGACGCAGGACTGACATGTCGGGAACTTTGACCTATGACCAAACATGCGGTTATCGAATCGCAAGGTAAGCAAGCTCAGAATCGAAAGCAGACGAGCAAGCTCAGGATCAGTGCGCCCCAGGGAATTTCGGTGGTTGATGGAAACGAACGTTGTGAAAGTAACGGCCTGTTAAGAGCTCGGTTCGGCTGGGGCAGCTGTGCAGTCCGAATCGGATGCGATCCACAGCGTGCATGCTTGAGAAGAGCGCCCATCAGTGTTTGGCGTGTAAAGCAAGAGGCAATGTCACACGAACCAAACAGGCGTGTGGACCATCCAGTCGGTGACGGTGGTGCCTTGTTCAGCCAAGAGGCGTTGAGCCTTGTGCATGGGGGTCCAGCCACCAAGCAGTACATCCTGGTCATCGGTCAGGATGAGAACAATGTTGGGAAGGGAGACATTGGGGGATGGGGCAGGGATTGGCGGCACGGGCGTGCAGGCTGCGCCGTTGCGGTAGGCGGATATGGTACCCGCAACGGGAGCTCGGTTGACATGGGCGGTGAGCGAGCAGTTCAACGAGCTTGTGTGCCAGGTCCAAGCGCTGCAGCGGGCGTCAGCGCTGCAGCGCTGGCAGCAGGCCTCGGAGGTGCTTGCTTGTACCGTGTCATACCTATGCATTCCCATCCACACAGAGTCAAGGCCCCGTGTAGCGTTTGTGCTCAGAAGATGTGGCCAAGCAGCGGTAAAAACGCGGGTCCCGTACCATTGATTGTCGTGTGTGAGGCCAACGTCGTGAAGAAACGTATTGCTACTGCACGAAGCAGATGCGACGCTTAAAGTCGACTGGCTCAACATCAGCAGCAGCAGCACCGCCAGCAGTCGCAGAGCAGGAACCTTCCCACCGCACCGCTGCACATCATGATCGCACCCTGACGCGATCATGTCGAGTGGTCGCCCCAACATAAACAGAAACATGTAAACGCCGCCAAATGCGACAAAAATCTGACAATTCAGAGAGACACAGAAGAAAGAGAGACAGGAGAAAGAGAGAGAGTGAGATTTCCATTTCGAGAAAGAGATTCAGAGAGATGCAGAGAGATTTAGAGAGAAAGAGAGAGATTTACATGTTTTCAAGAGAGATGGATGGAGAGAGAGAGAGAGAGAGAGAGAGAGAGAGATTTAGAGAGATTTAGAGAGAGAGAGATTTAGAGAGAGAGAGAGAGAGAGAGATTTAGAGAGAGAGAGATTTAGAGAGAGAGAGAGAGAGAGAGAGATTTAGAGAGAGAGAGAGAGAGAGATTTAGAGAGAGAGAGATTTAGAGAGAGAGATTTAGAGAGAGAGATTTAGAGAGAGAGAGAGAGAGAGAGAGAGAGATTTAGAGAGAGAGAGATTTAGAGATTTAGAGAGATTTAGAGAGATTTAGAGATTTAGAAAGAGAGAGAGAGAGAGAGAGAGAGAGA